TATAAAAATAAATAGTTTTGTTAATGGTTAATCAATGGATTTATCAGGTTGCTCATTTATAAACGCACAAAAATGAAATATGTATTTCTAATGTTTAAATGTCTAATATTATAATCTACATTAAGGGTCCCGTGCCAGTTTTTAAAATTATCCACAATTCTATAAAGTTTGAAAATTAAATTGTATATTTTAGTTCCCACCTCAATTATAAAAATTTTTTATCTGAAAGAAGACTTCCTAGAGCCCGTATCATCTCTGATTTTGTATTTTATTTCAAATAATTGTATTAAAAAATTTGTAAAAAAAATGCTTTTTATCTTGTATTTGTTTTAGACATATTATTAAGTTTGAGAAGAAAATATTGAAAAACAGAGATCGATGCGGGCTGTAGTATAATTCCCTCTAGCAATTAAAAAAAAAATTAGGAAATTTGGTTGATTCTACAAGGCGGTATCGTTATTCCCGCAGTGTATTTTAGAGGACAAAATAGCATCAGCACCCGGGGCGCCTTAACTGCAATCATACTTAATGGTTTCTACAACCAATATTACTGTTAAAAATGTATAGAAATTTTGAATGAATAATACAATTTTTTAACACATTTGATTGTGATTAGATAAGGCATATTTGCATGCATTTCTAAAAGTTATTAACTTGTAAATATTTAAACCTAATTTACAACTGATAAATCACTTGTTCGAAATTCGATATTTATAATTATTATCACAACACATCCCAATTGGCAAGACAAATTAATACCTGCCATACTGATGGTTAGACAATTTTTCCCATAGATAAGTCGGGATACTATTATCAGCTTGTATGTACTTTTCCTACATTTCGTTTTTTGCTGTTAAGTGTATTTGAATGTATTTGATAATATTAATAGAAATTGTACTTATCAACGTATTAAGTTTCAATATCAAAATTAATTTATTAGAGAAAGTAAAATAACTAATATAATACTGTATCTATACATCCCGAATCGGAGTAAAATATTATTCAGCACCATTATCTTATAATAATTAAAAATAACTTCAATCCGTGTTTAGATACAACTGTGTTTAATTTAATATTTTGTATAATTGAACTTACCTTTCAGAACTTGATGATGATGAGCCTGAATTATTTTCATTATTTTGATCAGAGTCTGAAGATTCTTCTTCTGATACATTCTGCAATTTAAATCCCACACTATAGACAGATGGCAACATATGGTACCGGCTACCAAGTCATCTAACTAACTGTTCATCATTGTTCATATTTTAAATAATAACAAATTTATCATTTATCATTTTCTAGACAATTATTTATAAAATTTCTTTTTCGACATCATAATTCCATATGCATATTTTCAACTCATTCGCATTGAACTAAACCTAACCTAGATGAGCTTGTAACTGTTTTTATTTTATTTAAATTTGTTTACTTTGTCACAATCAACCGTAACTATTATTATGATTATTTAATATTCTAAGGATATCAATATGCACTTTTTAATTTACCAATATGGATAAAACTGATTGGTTATTACACATTCATAATTATTTAAAGTTCAAAAACTTGAAAAGAATGTAAAAATTGTAAATTGTATATTATGAAAATTTGATGTTGGATTACCAAGACGTCATGTAAAACTAATGATTTACAAAAACTATTTTTTTTTATACTATATAATTATCTGAGATATATATTAGTCAATTCAAAATAAGGAAATACCTTTATGAAATTGACTGTACAGAATCTTTCTTCTTTAATTCAAAATAAATAAAACATCTTATAGATAAATAAATAGATAAAAATTAAATTATTAACATAATAAAGCCTTTGGAAATATAGAACACTCACCTCTATGAAAATCTAGAATATAATATATATATGATGTCTGAGCTACTTAGACTAACTTAGCTATTTTCACTTATATTGAAATAAATTGAAGTCAAATATAACTACTGAAATCAATTATTAGAATATTAATTTGTCATCAGTTATATACTTATTGATTATAAAGCAAATAACAAATAGTTATCATAGATACTAGATAATAAAAAAGTTGTATTATAAGACTCCAATTCTAAATTCTAATCAGTTACCTACCTTAACAGCTGTCGTTAAAATATATCACCGCAATATATTAAAATATGTAATTATAAGAATAAATAATATGAGGTTTTCTTTTACTTATACAACAGAAATCAACTTGTTTTATTTTACAAATATCAATTTAAAAAATATATATATTCTTTCGGCAACATTGTACCTAATTATTAGGCCTATTTGAATTTTTTAAAAAAAATATGTATTACATATTTAATAACATAATGCGAACAAAGTATACATTAATTATTAGGTTGAATTAATACCAAACACGAGGAAAAATACTGGTACCCGTTCTAATCAATGAAAAAAATGTTATACAAAGAATAGAAATGAAAAAAAAGTGATCAAACTAAAGGATTCATCTTCTATAAATATAATAAATAACTACAAAATAATTATATATTTAAATTATGTGGTCATCCATAAAACGTAGGATAAATACCTGGTGTATAAAAATATTATAATTATATACACAAGATAAAGTATTGCATGAATAACAAAAATCATGTTATTTAAATATTATTAAAATGTAGATATGTAGAATCAATATTGACTTTATTTCAATATAATATGTACTTAATTATAATATACATATTCCTAGAACATTTAGGAGGTATCAAAATGTATTTATTAGAAAATACCAAATAATAAATGAGTATTATAAATATTATTTGGAAAATTGTACAGCATTATTACCTACTCATATTGTTTACTTGCCATATGTAGTATAAAAATTTGGGGGAAGTAAAAGTTAAGTATTATTATAATACTTTTTTTATGTCAGCATAAAAGTCAAACAAAATTACCACATGCCTACCTTTAACATATTTAAGGCAACTCCGGGAATAGAGTACACTCACTACCTATAGCATTATTTACGTTATATTATCATGTTGAGCATTTTTCTATGTGCACATCCTAACTTTAACTTAAAATTTTGAAAATGGGTCCAATTTAGATTTCTATGTTTCATACATCTAAAACTTGGTTAACTTGTGGACAATTCATAATTAAATAGAATTTAGCTGTCCAACCATTTTAACTACCCTTATGGTACATTTAAGTATTGAAGGGTGTTCTGACCAATGGATCAATAATGAGTAAAAATGTTTTAATGGAAACATGTTTGAACGGGTATAATGTTTTGATGCATTATGTCAATCACTCTCTCATAACTATATTAAAACTATAAAATAGTTATTCCAAAAACTAAAAATATTTTACATGAAACATACAATTAGTATGAGGGTAGTTGGCTGTAGAGAAAACATTATAAGTGCCTATTAAATTTATTAAGTGACATGAAGACCAATGATTTGAACAATGATGAACACAATAGGCGAATAACTTAAAATATTAAGCCAAAGGATAGTATTCGACATTAAGGATGTTATTGAAAAAGATAAAAGTGGATAGTGAAAACAGAAGAGAACTGCTTCTTACCTGATGCATTTTGGGTGGCTAAAACAATCTTGTGAATTTTAGGGCCACGGGTTAGTGTGTAAAAACCGAGGTGAACAACCATATAAGGGTCGCGAGACAATGTTAATCGTAAAAAACCGAGTTTGAAAAATGAAAAATTACGAGAAAAAATACGTCGCTTCACCTAAATACGGCCAGTGTTGGGCAGTCAAGGTGAGGAGGTGAAGTGGCACGGCCAATATCGTGTGCGTTTCGCGTATGGGCACGATTATCGGGAGTGTTTGACACAAAAATCGACAACATTCGGTAATCAAGGAGACGTTTAAATATGATTCCGATTAACGAAAATAAAACAGACACCAATATATGTTTAGCTTCGAACGTGTACGAGTGTGCGGAAAACGGTACGAGACAAACAATAAGCGGCCATTTTGTGTGAAGCGAGATTACACGGAGTGGTAGTGGTACCCCCGCGCGCCGCCCACCAAACAAGCGAACCCCACTACACCGCACAGTCTAGTAACCAAGGATGACGTCGACAGCACTGAATGCTTGGAAATGAAAATTGACCTTATAACGAAATAATTGTAATATTTTCCAAATTAAAAATATTTTAAACTATTGGCACTATACAACAGATGTACGACAATATTATGTATAGATTGAAAATATTTAACGAGCAAATTGAATATTACAGATGCAAAATTAATAGCGTGGGTTGTCTACCGCGGAAAATATAGTTTTTTATGCCATGAAATTCGGTATAGCGGCACGGTTATGGTTAACACGAATTATATTTTTGCGCAGCACACCACACACGGTTTTATCCCCTCTTAAAAACTTGTAACACTTATAACTAACAAATGGTTGGTGGAGATTATTAATAAAACGTATTTCTTTTGTATGTGACAAAAAAGTGAGTCAACTTAATAGAAACAAATTAACAAACTAAAAAGTTTTAAAATAACAAATAATTTTAATATTATACCAATATTGGAAAATATTCAGTAAGAACATTGAATTAAAACAAACATACTATAATTTATATAATAAACATTAGTAGTTTGTACTGTCATGTACAACAAATTAAAAAAAAAAAAGATAATAACTAATAAGAAACAATAAATTGTTAATTTATAAAACTTAATATTGTAAGGAAGCAAAAAAATTATATTCTATTAACTATTCAATTAGGGAGTTGAATGAAGATTGAGAATTATCAATAAATTAAAAATTAATTGTTCTAAAATACAAATTTTTGTGAAAAATTATTTTTATTGCATAACACTAAGCTAACATTTTAATCGAAAATAAAAACATTTCAGTGTCACAAAAAAAAATATTTTAGAATAGTAAATTAAACAAAATACATAAAATAATTTTAAAATTGTTAACATTTATTTAATGTTTATAAATTGTTTACATTATTTTTATGATCACAAATATGTATAGCTAATTTCAGACTTACTTAGTCATAATTACAACTTCCGTTGTTTTCTTGATCTTAATGGATTCCACGATATAGGAGTATCATCAGTGACAGATATAATTTTAAGACCACCCATAGTAAGACCTTTTATTGAGGACTAAAACAAAAACAATTTTGAATAAATTAAAAAAAATTACCTTGACAAAAACTTTCTTGGAAAAGGAGACTTAATTATTTTAGTTATTTGTATAATAACCCTTAAGGCATAAGGAAAAAAATTAGACTTGGGTACTTCTGAAAGATAGTTTTTTATTTTAACTTTCTAGTGTCCTAAACAAAATCAGATCAAAATTAAGTACCATCAATAAATATAATACATTATTGAATATAACTGTGATGTTTGTACAATGAAGAGAAAATACATTTTTAAAAAAGTGTTGTGTCCAGGATTCTGTTAACACATTTATAGTATGAAATATAATTGAATAATAAATAATGAACAAGCATAAAGGAGTTATTATAATTATTTTTACCATTCTCCCGGGTCCTAATCCTTGAATTGTTACACGAACTGTGTGAATACCAAAATCTAATACTCTCTGAAAAAAAAAGATTGTTTCAATTTAAATCAAATATTTAACATAAAAATTAATACAGTAAAACTCGCTTAAGACGCTCTTTAAGGGACCAGCTCTCTAGAGCGTTTTAAGCGGGAAAGCGTCTTATGCGGGAATGAAATAGGGATATAGATGATATAGGGACCGACGGCAAATAGCGTCTTATGCGGGAAAGCGTCTTAAGCGGGAGCGTCTTAAGCGAGTTTTACTGTAGTTATTAACATCATAATTAAATTATAAAATTATAGTTAAGAAATAATTATTTTATAACTAAATAATAAATTATAAATTGAATTTTTTTTTTTAAAATAACAAGTTAAATTAATAAACATAAGATATAAAAACTGGGTACACTCAGTAAGCTACATAATTCGGCATCCTACACATATTTCTGAATTCTATCTGCAGGCGATTGGCAATCGAATAGTCTAATATCATGTCCGACAAACAGAATTTAATAGTATGTATAGGGTATTGAATAATATGGGTAATTTAATTATACAGTTTTTTCGCAGACACACGATACGTAATATATTCTTATATTATAAGAAATCTAAAAGATTGACTGAACTCAGATGTTTAATTTAATTAATATTTAAAAACATGTGTTCAAAATTAAAAAAATATAATATATAAAAGGACTCATAAAAAGTAATAATTTAAAAAAATTAATCTATATAAATTGTAAATATACATAAATATTTAACATTTTATTCTTTTCATGAAAAATACTAAATATTCACCCATAGATAATAAGTATAGTTGTATTACCTTATCAAGCATTATCAACTGCACATGATAAGCTCTCTGTAAGAGTTACGTAAGTTTAAAAGTATTTAAGTGGTTGTAATAGTAAAATGTCTTGTCTTTGCCAATAACATGAATCCCCTACCACAATTATCGGATAAATAACATTATTGGTATATTTGGTATTATCACCACAATTCATATAAATTTGTTATAACATCCCCCCATCATTGTAAATTCCTGGGAACACAATTAGTCTTTGCCATAATTCCATTAATAACCATTAATTTATGCCATTATCAATTGACGGCTTGAATTAAAGGGGAACACGAGCACAGAGCCTATCACTTATTTCCAATGACTTTCAAACAAAATGTTTAATGTAAAGGAATTTCAAAAAATGTTTTTGTATTGCATAAAATACATAAATTAATAAATAGTAATAATGGGAGTTGTTAACTATTTTATGTTGATGTGTTGGATGTAGTTTTATTTAATATAATATATTCAAAAAAATTCAACTGATTTTGCCGCCAATAGTATGAACAGGCACACTGGAGGATTCAAGGGTAGCAGTTGCTACCCCTGATTTTTTTGGTAGGTGGGTGGGTGGACCCCCTGGCTCCAAAATATTTACATCATGAAAATTCTATTACGTATAAAAATATTGAAAATAAACTATTGAATAATTATAGGCTATAACCATTAGTCTATTAGCCAATATAGAGGTGACCGAATCAATTTGCTACCCCTATTTATTTTTGAGTGTGTGCCACTGGTATGAAATATATCTCTAAGGTGGGTATTTCGTAACAAATAGTCACATTTTTGGTAAAAAAAAATCAATCAAGTTGTAACTCTTTAGACCATAAGTGGAAAAATTCATGTTTCCACATTTCCAGACAGTAATAATTATTAATTGTTGGTAAGCACCCATCCCAGCACCCATATTTTCTTTCAATGTGGATATTACAAAATATATAATTGGCGCCCTAAATGTTTTTTCTTCCCCTAGATGTGGTTAGCATGGGATTTCGTATATGTACTTAAATATTATAAACAAGTTTTTTTAGACTGGTCTCATATTGAGTGCTTTATAAATACATGCGTTACATGTGTTTTTGTAAACGAGAATTTTTTGATGTAAATTGCTATGACAAAGCAGTTGTGTATAATTGGTTTTGTTAAAACACAAAACTCCATTTCCATTTAAATGCTGTGGCAAAATCGTAAAATATATCCTACCACACATGGCCACACCTATGTTCTCAGATTAATTTTAGACTAGGACTTGTTTTGTATTTTGATTTGGAAAATGTTTTTTGATTTGATTAAAATTCAAAATACTATAACTCAGCACCCTATATTTCATAGTATATAATATAACCTAATAGGTCCTTTTAAAATTATTAGTAGTTTATTTAGGATATTAAAATATAAAAACAAGTTTTTTTAAAATTTAATTAGTTAAATTATTCAGTGATGAACTTAATGAATTGAAGTTGATGTTGTTTATTCCATTGAATAAAAAAATGTTTATTCAAGTAACACAAATAAAAAAATATTTGTTTATTTATTTTTAGGAAATAATAAATGCTTACTGTAGCCAAACCGATTGCTGTAGCTTGGGCTGCAATATTTGTTCCTTTTCTAGTATTTTTGAATCCTTCCATACCACAAGACCTGATAATTATCCTTTCACCTAAAAAAGGTTTATATATTAATTTGTATTTGACATAAAACTAATGTTAAGACAATTTTGATATTATCTAATTTATTGTATATTATATAAAATGTATTAACAGAATTAACAGTAACCTAATTACTTTTTTATTATATTAATATTATGAATATTATAGGTATATTTTACTTTGATTTATATGAGTAACTCAACATTATTTGTATTTAATCATCAGTAATAATAATTTATTAACCACAATTAAAATTGCTATTTAAACTATGTCTACCTAGACAATGAGTGTGCATAACCCAAAACTAGTAGTTTTCTAAATCAATGAAACCACTTATTAAAGTGATCCAACCAATAAGAGAGCAACCTGAACATTCTTGTAGTTGAATGTGTGAAATAATTATATTCTCTAGTTGGGATAAGACATAAAAGTAGGTGTAGTAAATTGATTTATTCAAACACAATAATTGAGTCCCTTCCTGTTTAAATCTGAAACTGGGTAAAGGGATGAGTTTGAGGCTGATGGTTAATAATAATATTAATTAACAATTCAATTTTTAATTAGAAAACTTCTGTGTGAAGACAGATGATAAGATTATTATCTAGGGCATCTCTGAGGTTTTAAATTTATTAAAATATATTAAATTTATTAATTCACTTTTTGCTTTTGAATATATTACTATGAATTATTACTTAAAAATATTTACTCTAAAACCGATACTAGTGTTTTTATTGAAACAAATACCACAAAAAAAAACCAAACTTGCATAGTAATATTATATTTATTTATATTCACCATCATAATTAATGTAAAGATTTAATGATAAGGCTGATGGCAGTACTATTAATGGCGACCACGATAAAAATCGGGATAAAAATATAGTGAGCACATTAACCTAACCTCATACCATTAATTATGAATAAAAATAAATTATATATTTATAATCAATGTTAAGGGGACGTTACAGTGGCATATTTTGTTGTCTCTGTCTTACAAGTGCGTAACATTTTTAAACCAAATTTTAAGCTCAGCAAAACAAGTTTATCTCCGGTTAGCTTAAAAATTAGAGCGAATTGACCTCTTATACAAATTAAAGGTAAGATTTTATTATAATTTAATTTTTAAGCGAGTAATATGTATTTTAAAATTGTGAACTGTTTGTACATCTGAAAATACTCATACCTCGCTTTAAAATTAAAATATAATAAAAAGCCTATGTCATTGTCTAATCTTACCTTCAAATTGTATAAGAGTTCAAATTGCTCTAATTATTAAACTAAAGGGAGATATAAGTGTTTGCTCAGCGTGAAATTTGCTATGTTACGCACTTGTAAGACAGAGAAAAGAAATGTAACTGTAACGGCCCCTTAATACCAAACCAATTACCACAATATTTCAACTTACTGCAATATTGTAAATTCTATATTAGTATTGTCTGTTGATGATATAATAATATATAATATATTAATATGGAGTAATAAAGAATCATTAAAACGTTAAATTTATAAATTAATTCTAGTCCCGTTACCTACTATAAATTATTAAGTAGATATTATTCAATAATTTTCAATTGTTAATTGTTATAAATATTAAAATAATAAAATTAATTATGTCAGTTGTTGGGATTTTTTTTTAATAAAATGAAGTGTCCTAATGATATTCTCAATGCTAAATGTTCAATTTGTAGCAAAGCCGAAGGTACAAATTCGAATGAATTGCTAATACGTGAAATTTGTTTTATCGGGTATCGGTTTTAGGTGATATAGGTTCAAGGTTTATGTTGTTTTTAAGATATATTGGTTATCGGTTTTTTATCGGTAACATATATCAGTGTCAGATATCGGTAAAAAGTGGTACCGGCCCATCCCCAATTATAATTATTATAATATAATATAGGTATACCTACACATTCAATTTGTTTTTTGTAAAAAATAATTCAATAATACATACATTTAACTTATAGAAAAAAAAATATTTTAAGAAATAGACAGTAACGGCTCAGAATTGTTTATTGTTGGATTTGATTTAAACACATCCTTTGCAATGACCTACTCAATGACAAAGTGACATATACAAAACAGCACAACTTCCTGACATTATTTTTTTAAATTGTTGTCCAAATATAATTAAAACTCCAAGAAATTTTAAGATAGTAGGATAAATAAATTATAATATAATAATAGCAAATTGAATCTCAATTACCTTATTATAGAATCATAAATACTAAAAAAAATTTTAATTTAAATGAAGGAAAAATTATTTTAAATAAAAATATAAAAAAAAATTAACTATTATGAACAATGAAAATAGATTTAGGTAATTAGTATAAATAAAAAATGTATTCTTGGATATCTTGTTAAAAGTATATTATGTAATATATTGAATGTAGTTAACTTAATTAATAACATATAAGGTTTATTATATTTAGTGTTTACACTTGGTGATGAATTAATAAAAGAAAATGTTTCAAAAACCTTGTAACTTACCATTAACTTTAGTGACATGAAGTATTGTATTGTTCCTAGATGATTTAATGTGACAAATAGGTACATCTGAGAATTTAACTCCACCAAAAAGCATATTAGGCGTATTTATGTCAGGAAACATTTCTTCTTTCCTCAAAAAAATAAAACTTTTAAGTTAGTACAGGTCCACCAGACAATAACAAAATGTTCATCTCTGTCGTTCTAACACAACGAAATAGAGACCAACAAAAATGGCGTCCACTCATAATAAAGTACGAAAAAATATAAGTTTCATTCAACGCCGAACAAATGAAACGGTAGAAAAAAAACTCACTTGGTGATTGCGGAATCGATGAAAACGAATTTCTCGCCTTCAGTACCTTCGTCTTTACGAGGTACGGAGGCCAAAAAACTCCGACGGTCCCTGTTCTTTTCCAATGGCGCCGCTACGTGTATCAAACGGTTGACGACATTTTCTCCGCCCGGGACGGCGGTCGTTCGTCGACAGAAGTCACGTAAGACTCGTACAAACATCGTTTTAACAACGGTACACGTAGGTTCGCAAGAAATTCGATTTTTGTATTTAATTTTAGTACGTATAGGACAATGTTATATTACAATACATCCATTATACGCATACAATAGTCATCCACGCTCACCCGCCGACCAACAAAGTAAAGAGTACAAACGGCAAAATGGCGAATAACCTAATACGAAATTATGCGATGTGAAAGAATCGAAGAGCGACGTAGAAGTAGAATCCGCCGCGGTCGTCGTCGTCGTTTTTCACCGTTCACAGCACGACCATAGCAGCATGGCCAACGAATCGCGATCCTGAATATACAATATAATAGTACGATACCGAATACGGAATAACTTTCAACACTGTTACGCCAAGCCATGATTGCCAACATGATGCGCTGATGGAGAAATAACATAGATAATAAATAATGGATAGGCACGTCATAAGCAAGGTTTAAATTTAAATTTAAAAACGACTATCTTAAATCGTGGTCATAAGTAAACAGTAAACACAGTGCTTCTATATAATACAGAAGTATTATAATGTCACAGAACAATATAGAAGTCTGTGTAAGTAAATTAGTTTATACCACGAATTAAAATATTATACTGACTATAATAATAATACTGAGTACTGACTATTGTTTTATTCTGTGATAATATATAGGTATTATATTATCTATGCTTTCAATGTGCAAAGGGGCACTAGCGCTCCAAGGGAATTAATTGTATACTAATGGATTGACTATTTACATAGAACAATCTATTTAAAATTTAAAATATTATGCATAAATAACAAAAATAATATGATGATTTTTTCGAATGATTAATTTAAACATTCAAGAATTTCCTTATTACTGTAATCTGCAATATGATAATTAATAATTAATAAGCACCATTCTAAATATTCAATATTCTACTATAACAAAATAGATTGATAAAGTGTGAAGTGGAAGGTAGTACTCAGTAGTATTAACTAATAGGTAGTAAAAGAAAAATGCACATTTAATTATTTAATGAATATTAATTACATCTTTTTTTTTATTACATGATTCATATAATTTTACATATTTATTAATATAGATAACTAATACAAATTGCATAAAATACTTATATATTACAATACCTATACAGCTCAAACTTTGGCTAAAGTGCACCAACCCCCTCACGATTTTCAAATTCTTTCAAACGACTTTTTTTTATGCTCAAAACGATGGTGTAAATTTTTTTTCCCGGAAACTATTATTTTAGAAGTTATAGCCTTCCAAAGTTTGAGATTGTATACGTTTATGGCGCTTGCCTGCAATGCTACTTGACTGCCACGCGCAGCGCCTATAACAAATTTTAAGTTTTTTTTAAAATTATTTTAACAAGTTGTGGGACATAGTCATTATTAAGATGAAATATAGACTATAGTTGGGTACCTAATTAGACTAGGTATATTAGCCCAATTAAAATATATAGGTAATAATATTTTTTTGGGAAAACCTATGTATTTCAAAAAGGATTAAAAAAAAATGTACTTATTTTACCTTAACTGGCCATCGTGTCTGGCGACCGGAGCCTGTAGGCGAAGAGAGCCACTATATATACTTTTGTATTATGTAAACAGGTCAAGGACTGAAAACACAAATTTACTATGCATACGGACTTTTAACTTTTACTATAAAAAAATCTAGAGGTCCTCCGCGGGGCATTATAGTGGTGTTGGGCGCATGCGTATACACGTAAAATCGAAAACTTATAGGGAGGCTATAACTTTTAAAATAATAGTTTCCGGAAAAAAATTTACACCATCTTTTGAGCACAAAAAAAAGTCGTTTGAATAAAGAAAATTTGAAAATCGTGAGGGGGTTGGTAAAGTGCATTTGTTCCCAAACTTCAATTAAATTAGTCAACAAATCATGTTGTAACTAATTTGGATAATTTTTTTTTTGTTTGTTTTACTTTTCTTGCTGAATCATAAGAATTTTCAAAAAAATTACAGGAGTTGTTTTCTTTCCTGATACTTATTCAAATAAATTAAATCATACTAAATAGTATCCATACAGTATCAATTTTAAAATATAGTAATTAATAAATCACTCCTAGAATAGACCACATATTACGATTGGTTGCTGTTCCATCGCTTGTCACACCAACTATTTGACCTCCATCAATTAAAATAATAGCTTTAGTAATTAATTTGGCAAGATCAATTCCTGCATTTCAAAATTAATGAACAATATAACAATTTTTACTATTTTCCTATTGTTATTTGTTATTTATTGTATAATACTACAATACCTTTTACAGGATCGTGTGAGACAAAAACTGCTAGATATAGGCAGTCCAAAATTCTCAGCTAGACTTTGTCACATAAACCCAAGTCCGTTATTTGCTTTTTTATCACTGTCTTTTTTGGATTCTATTTCTCACCAAAATCCTCAAGTCCCGTGTAAGTGAGTTCTCTAGTATTAACACTTAAACTTCCTCGTAAACTAATTTCATCAAAAAGTAGAATAATTTTTTTTTCAAAATTATTCTTGGTTGCAAATTTTTTGGTCTAAAGTTTAAATAAATTGTTATCAAAACCACATCCAATTTCTACTGCCAACAAATGATTTCTTATAGTATTAATACAAGGAAGTGGTAATATATTCTGCTCTCTCAAAAACTTATATCCACTTGGAGATCTAGAAAAAAAATTCATTATATTATTTTTTATCAAGTATTTTTAAAATTATTTTATTAAACCGAAATTGAAAATTTACCTAATTTGGAACAATAAACACAATAACATCCAGTTCTCACTGTACCTAAAGATTTTGGAGTTTTTAATTATAGAAGAGTTAAATATTTCATATAGTAAGAAATTTTGGTATTTTGGTATATTATTGTTTTGAATTATTTGCTCGAGGCTGTTATTAGTCATGTCTTTCAATTTATTTTTTATTTCGTTTAATGTAAATTCTAAATTTGTAATTTTCGTTTTAATCTAAAAAAAATGTCTATAAGAAAGTCAAATTAAATTTTTATGAGCGTTTGAATTTCATATTTTTACGATATTGGATATTCACTCGATTTCTCATAAAGCGATTTTGTTATTTTATGGTTATTCATAAACGAATGACTGTAGATACTTGAAAATTTCACTGAATGTTTATATTAGCATTTTCTATACACCATACAATTTTTTTAATAATTTGACTCTTTTTGAGCTGTCTACGGACATTGTCAGTTCTAAATTTTTTAGTTTTTTTTCTATAAATATCAATAAATTTGATATGTTAGGTACAAAATAGGAAAAATTTAATGAAGGCTCCTGATATATTATTACAATGCAGTTTAAAAATATTAAAAATACATAGGCACAATTTTTTTTATAAGCATTTAAAGTTAGAATTTTTACAAAATTTATCAAATTTAAAATTGAATAATTATTTTATAGATAAAAATTTAAAACAAGGATTCACGTAAATAAGTTATAAAAATTACTTTATTCACAATAATATCATCAAATATACTTTGTCTGGGCTGACTGACCGTTTTCGCTCAGAATCATTTTTCTTATACAATGATTATATTATACAGGGTGTATCTTATGTCATTGTACGCGGGGTTTTTTGACGATTACGGAACTATGATATGGAATTTCGTTAAAACGAAAAAAGACGTGTTTCTTTATTTTTAACAAGCAATTTTTTTATAACAATTTCAAAATTTTTAAACACGCAGGTGTACCAATAGCAAAATCAACTTTTTTTTCAAATGGTAACCACTATATTTTTTAATGGATTATGGCAAAGCTTTTTTTTCTGAACATTATGGTAGTCGAACCGTCAATTTTGGTTCGCTAGTTTATTAACTATGGTCCTCCAAAGATTAGTAAAATATGCATTAATACTTTTAATTAAAATAATGGGTATAGGTTTAATTTACAGGCGCTAAACAATTTTTTCTTATAACTACCATTTGATACACTACAATAGTTGAATCGGTAATCTAATGACACCCTCGAAAAAAAAAAAAAAAAATAACAAACATAATTGTTCGTAAACATAATTCATTATTTTTATTTTAACATACGATCATATAAAGCAATATTATTATTTTAATATCCAAAACTAAAAAGGATTGAAAGGGATGAATTACAACTCCTAAGTTCATACTTTGGATGCGATACCATTATAGGGAATCTATGGTTAAAATATCAAGTTTATACTTTATACCACTACGAAAAGAGCACCACAAAATATTGCACTTTTTTCTTTGCACATATTAATGTCAACAATCGAATACCATTTACCTATTTACCATTATTACCTTAGCCACCTACCTAATTAAGAATTCAAATTTATGATATTGTAAGAAAAGTAACTGTGATGAAAAAAATGTAAAGTAATTAATTACGATTATAATAATAAATTAAAATAATAATATTGCTTTATATGATCGTATGTTAAAATAAAAATAATGAATTATGTTTACGAACAATTATGTTTGTTATTTTTTTTTTTTTTTCGAGGGTGTCATTAGATTACCGATTCAACTATTGTAGTGTATCAAATGGTAGTTATAAGAAAAAATTGTTTAGCGCCTGTAAATTAAACCTATACCCATTATTTTAATTAAAAGTATTAATGCATATTTTACTAATCTTTGGAGGACCATAGTTAATAAACTAGGGAACCAAAATTGACGATTCGACTACCATAATGTTCAGAAAAAAAAGCTTTACCAGAATCCATTAAAAAATATAGTGGTTACCATTTGAAAAAAAAAGTTGATTTTGCTATTTTTACACCCGCGTGTTTAAAAATTTTGAAATTGTTATAAAAAAATTGCTTGTTAAAAATAAAGAAACATGTCTTTTTTCGTTTTAACGAAATTCCATATCATAGTTCCGTAATCGTCAAAAAACCCCGCGTACAATGACATAAGATACACCCTGTATATCATTGAATTCAAATTTAACACCATCCATTACAGTGACCCACTTGTAACCTACTGTACAGCAGAGCAACTTTTTTTTCAATTTTATGGACATGTTTTTTTTTTTATAATACAAGAAATGTGACTATATACTATATAGTTACTTAGTATTGCTTTTAAGTAGTACTGTACATTTAGAATGATATCACGACTCTTTGAATTCTGTTATCTGTGGCCCAAGTTTAGATTTAATATCTGGAGTATTATTAAAATTATCACAACCATTGCAAATGTTTACATGATGCAGTAATAATAATACATTTTCCAGGTCTTCAACACATTTTATACAATTTGAAGAAGACCAACCAATATTTTCTGTTGTAATTTGTTTATTATTAACATAGACAATCAATCTTAAATCAATATTTAAAATTAATAAAAATAAAATAAATATTAGTACCTATTTATCATTTAGTTAGTTTAGTACTTACCTTCTGTTAAGACAAGTTGTTTTTCTATATTTCTTAAAAATGTTTTTCTTAAACTCCCTAATTTATAAAATCCAACAAATTTTTTATTCGGATAATTGAGAAGTTGAACATCAGAAAATCAATTTGATGGAAAATTTATCATTTTAATCACCTTTACTATATAGTTAAATACAGCTGAAGGCTTCAATAGTGATATCTATAGACACGTGTAATATACATAATGTTTATAAGTTATAACTTTATAAGTACTAAAATAAAAAAATACAAAATATCTTAACTATTTAACTTTTTGATTATTAACACTTTTATTTACACTGTTACTGTTTCCTGCTTTAGAACATTGATCATTAATATTAATGTTACCTAAATCTATTTGCTGTGGTATTCTTGGAATAGCAGTTATCATCTTCAATGTTAACATGATTAGTGATCTACAAGTTACAACATTCATCATTAATTACTATTACCTGCACATCATGAATTTTAAATAAAAAATTTAATATTTACAAAAACCTTTTGTTTTGTTTAATGGTATATAATTTAAGTCAGAAATTGTACTTGGTCTTGTAGGCTTCATTATATCCAGACTTATATTTGGTTCAATACTGTTCTTGATTATTGGCTGCAATTGTAACACTTTTTGGGGGACAGCTCCATTTTTAAGTCTTGGTTGTTTTAGACATACCTTAAAAGTATTTTATTTTTTTTTTATAAAATATCACATTATATGACAATAATTTGAAAACTAATTAAAAATACACCGTATATTTGTTAGATTCCTGGCCCCATATCCATGCTCTTGTTATATCCTAATGCTTAAAATGATTTTCACATGTTTTACCGAGTGTAAAATTTGCTATGTTATACACTTGTAAGAACGAGACAATACATGTGGGTATAACCATGTTATTTTTTTTTTTTTTTTTTTTTTTTTTTTTTTTTTATTAACATAAAGGCTTCAATTACACAGATTTTTAGCCTGAAATTAAAAAAGTTTGTACATTATAATATTTACAGTTTTTTGTCAAGTTCTATTTTTTTAAAAAATTTGAAAATGTTGTCGGAGTTCTGTTGACTGAGGGCTTCTTCAATTGACCTTGGATTGTTGAGCAGGAAACGTGCGGTTGAGAATTTGGGGCAGACAATAATGATGTGTGCCATTGTAAGGGGAGTTTAACATGTGTCACACAAGGGGGGGGGTTTCCTTGGTTATCAGATATGAGTGCGTGATATGGGAATGGCCTATTCTGGATCTGTTTATCACTATTTGTTCTCTCCTTGATGCGTTCTCTGGATATGCCCATTTGGATATAGATTTTTTTATGTTTCTGAGTTTGTTACTGGAGGGAATTGAATCCCAGTGATTTTGCCATGTTTTTATAATCCGTTTATGGGCTTCATTTATTAGGTCTTTACTCGGAATTTTATTTATGATGGTAGAGGTTGTGGATGTAACTGCTTCATTCGCCATCTTGTCGGCTTTTTCGTTCCCGGGGATACCTATGTGGGATGGGACCCACATAAACTTAATTTTGTTTTTCGATGAGGAGATAAGGTCTTTGGTAAGTTGGATTACTTCATTTTGAGGATGATGGTCTTGTAGTGAGATAAGGGCGCTGAGAGAGTCGCTTATTATAAGTGAATACTTATAGTCTGATTGTACGACGAATTGGACTGCCATATACAACGCATAGGATTCCGCTGTGAAGATACTGGAGAATGAAGGAAGTCGAAAAGTTTTAGCTTGCTGGCCGTCCACTATTGCGAAACCTGTTCCGTTAATATTTTTAGATGCATTTGTGTAGATAAGTGTGTAGTCGTAGTATAGGAATTCAACAGATTCGTAGAATAGGGCAACTATGGACGAGTTTGCAGTTGTGTCTTTGTTATATTTGAGAAGATCCGTATTAATATCCGGGGACCAAGTCCAAGGCGCTTGTATAGGAAAGAGGGACTTCTTGGTTAAATCTATATTAAGATTAATATTCTTTTTTATTCGATTGAAGTTTTCAAAGATTGTAGTGGGAGTCTTCGCTTTAGTATATGGAAAATTTTGGTGGAAGTTAGAGAAGGATATATGTTTTGGCTGGTTTGAAATCTTGATCATATATTTAATCGTGTTATTGTCACGAATGATTTGCAGAGGAGGTTCTCCGGCATTACATAATATGCTGGCCACTGGACTAGTTTTAAAAGAACCAGTGGCTAGTCTAATTCCTTGGTTGTGAATCGGATCAAGTGAGGAGAGTGTCGTAGCTTTGGCAGTGCCATAAATGACCGAACCATAATTCATGAGTGAGAGAATTAATGATTTGTATATTAATATGAGGCTATTCTGGTCAGAACCCCATGAAAGGTTTGATAAAGTTTTAATAATGTTCATTCTACCCATGCAACTAGTTTTTAGTTTTTTGATGTGTGTTTTCCATGACAATTTGTGATCGAAGGTGAGTCCTAGGATGCGTAAGTTTTCCGAAAAATTTAATTGTGTCATGTTCAAGGTAATTGAAGGAGACGGTGAGTTTTTTTTTTATTAAATATGATGCCTTGAGTTTTTGAAGGGGAAAAAATAAAGCCGGTCTTGGATGACCATAAGGCAAGTGTGTTTAAAGACTCTTGTAACTTGTAAGAGTTGGGAAGAGGTTGCTAGGCTTGTTCCACTGCAATATATGTTGCAATCGTCTGCAAAGAGTTTGTATTTGACGGGAGAGGGAAGATTGTTGCCAATGTCATTTATAGCTACCAAGAAGAGAGAGACACTGAGGGCTGACCCTTGTGGAAGACCGTTCTCGATATAATGTGAGTTGGATAGGGTATTTTGGATTTTAATAACAATGTTATTGTTCTGTGGTATAACGTCCTCTTAATTCCAAATATTTACAAATTTGGCGGTAAATTATTTTGTAAAAGTTGCCGCTAATATGGTAACAAGCGCTAGGTGTAGTTTGCAACAGTTGTTCTGGCAAGTCAGTTTAGGCACAGGTTTAGGCATGTTCTATGGTTTAGGTCCAAGCACGATGGTCTTAAATCGTGGGCATAGATATATACAAGTAAACAACAACTGTTGTAAATATCTATGATCGTCTGCCAAGAACATAGACATAATATAGATGGACTGCGCGTTCCTCCCCCCTCGCCATCAATAAATTCAGCCATAATAACAAGACATGAGAAGGTAAAATAGCATGGATAAAACATTTTTACTGTTTTTATTCCAAGGTATATTTTGGTTTAAATAAGACTATAAGAGTGATAACTGATAAGACTATTGATTCCGTATTTCCGTATCATGGAGGAAAGCTGTTAGATAAACATTTTTCCATGATTATTTACCTTCTACATAAGTTTATTATTGCTGACATGATAAGGGCTGAACGCGCAGTCCATCTATATTATGTCTATGGCCAAGAAAAATAGTTGTTTTAATTCTTGCTGATAACAATCATATTATTCTTATCTCAGTGTTTTATTGACATCATTATCTAATATCTTGTATTCTTCTTACTTGTGTTTACATAAAACACAAATCACAACACTTCATTCGGGTTGTACCTTGTACAGTTTGTTCTTATAAATTGCCTTTATTTTAATGCAAATTCTGTAGCTACCCTAATTTTGTATTAAATATTTAATTCAAATAAGTTACGGTTACCAAATAATTGCTGATTGCTATGGACCTAATTCAAGCTGTAAAATTATATATAATAAAGATGACTGAAGACTGTGGTCCTGGAATGAAAGTACTACTTATGGACAAAACCACTGTAAGCATATTGTACAAATTATGTACTCAATTTTTTTTTTACTAGTAAATATAAAAAAGGTGGGCAAGTGGGTGTTGCTCTGCTGTACAGTCTTAGGTTACAAGTGGGTCACTGTAATGGATGGTGTTAAATTTGAATTCAATGGTATATTATTATTGTATAAGAAAAATGATTCTGAGCGAAGACGGTCAATCAGCTTATGATATTACCAAGTATATTTGATGGTAATATTGTGAATAATATAATTGATAATATATTATAAGTAATAACCTATTTACGTGAACCTTGTTTTAAATTTTCAATCCTTAGCTATAAAAGTTGAATTTTTTATACATTTTTAACTTATTTTGAACTCTTATAAAAAAAATTTTGCTTATGTATTTTTGATATTTTTCAACTGATATATAACAATATATCAGGAGCCTTGTATTAAATTTTCACTCTTCTCTAACGAGTCAAAATATTTTCAAAATTGTATGTTATATAGATATGGTATATTTCCAGGTAGGTATCTACAGTTATTCGGTTTTTAATTACAACAAAATAAGAAAATCGCTACATATTTTACGCTACGTATTTTATATTTATTACCAAATTTATCATTTATTTTGAACTTTATATTAAGAGGACATCGCACCCTCTATGTAGTCTCCATCTTACAACACATGCAGGTGCGACGTCCTCTTAAAATTTAATTATAATTATTGAAATAACATTTTTTCATAAACCTTTGTAATTTTTAATAGACAAGTATTGTTAGCGCAGTTTTTAGTCAGTCAGAAATTCTTCAGAGAGAAGTATATTTATTCGAACAACTAACATCAACTAGTAGTTCAGACAGCATGTATCATATGAAATGTATTACATTCTTACGGCCAACTAGAGAAAATATATCTTTGTTATGCAAAGAGTTACGTAATCCTAGATACGGTTATTACTATATATGTAAGTATAAACATATGTATTATAATTTATAATTTAAAAAAGTAAATATGTTTACCAGTCTACAATTTTTTAAGTATATGAATAGTTAATTTGTTCTTGAAATATGGTATTTAGTTTTTTTTTTTTTTTAGTAATTTAAAATAATTAAACCCATTAATTATATATTAATTTGCTGAGTAAGTATAATTTTTATTCAGATTTCAGTAATATAATTTCAAAAACTGACATCAAGACAATTGCTGAAAGTGATATCCAAGAAGTTGTACGGGAAGTGCAAGAATATTATGCCGACTACTTAGCAATAGCACCTCATCTTTTTTCGCTCAACATTCCCTCTTGTGGACAATGTAATCAATAATCATAACTCATAGGACTTATTTAAATCATACCTGTTCTTAATTTTGTTATTATTTTTAATTCTAATTAGGTTTGTCCTGGGATCCACTTCAGCTTACACGATGTACTCAAGGAATTATTTCTGTTTTATTATCATTAAAAAAAAATCCATTGATACGGTTCCAAGCTTCTTCGAAAATGAGTAAACAACTTGCTGAAAAAGTCAAAGTAAATATTTTAAGAAAACCAAGTTTTCTACTGAGTGTATTTATTACAAAGCAATATAAATTTTTTTAGATAAATAGTTTTCCCGTTACCCTCTTTTAAATACATAATTATCTTTTTAAATCGGAAACAGAAATAGTTGGTTGGATTTGGTTTGTAAATGGTAACCTTTTAAAGTACTTGTAGATTTTTTCATTTAAAAAAAAAGTATACTACATTACTATTGTAATGTTATTGTATAATATTATTTTCTTTTATATATCATAAAACCTTAGAATCTCAGTGTTTCTCCCTGACCTATAAAGAATAAAGATATGTTAATAAGTCTATGGCTTCTCCCAATTGGTTTCTTTTTTTAAATTTGTATATAAAGATAATTATTTAAAAAAAAAAAACATTATATTTTAATTTTAAATAACTGTATTGTTTGCTTATTGTATCATAATAGACTTAAAAATATATTATTTTAAGGTAATATTTTCAAAAGAAGAAAATCTTTTCAATTTGAAACAAGGTGACATACAACCACAATTACTAATTCTGGATAGAAGGGAGGATCCAGTTACTCCACTATTGATGCCGGTAAATTTAATTATATAATTTAATAAACAATGTATTTTTCTGATATTGCCACTACACCTCGCATCATTCTTATTATAATAATATATTACTCAATTAAACAGTTATAACTACATATTACAAATATTATTCTATACTCTATAGTACTGTTATAGTCAATACAATCGTTACTAATATTGGACCACAGTTAAGTGTATGTTTTATAAAATATTTATACATGTTAGGTAGTCGCGATAACAGCAGTGTACAAACAACTAATAATAATTATTAAACTGTATGCCAACTGTTAAATAATCATGAAATTGTTGCCAGTGGTCTTACCAAGCTATGGTTCATGAGTTGCTTACTATAAATAATAATCAAGTGGATTTAAGTCATATTGAAGACATAAAACCAGATCTTCATAAAGTATTATTGTGTGCTGAACAAGATGATTTATACAAACAAGTAAATGTCAACACATTAATAAGGAATATACTTAAAATTGTGTTATTAATAAGCTTACAAATATTTTTAGAATATATATAAAAATTTTGGTGAGATTGGTGAGATAATGAAATCTTTAATTGATGATTTTAAGTCCAAAGCAAAAAATCACCAAAAACTTGATACCATATCAGATATGAAAGCTTTTGTTGAGAATTATCCGCAATTCAAAGTATTTAAAAATAATTAGTAGATTTAAAATAATACTATATAAATAAGCTTTAAATTATGACACCTTTCTTCCAGAAAATGTCTGGTACAGTTGCTAAACATGTAATAATTATGGAACAACTATCGAATTATGTTACAAAAAAAAATCTCTTGGAAGTATCCGAATTGCAGCAACAAATTGCTTGTGATATTCAATCTTCTCAACATACTCAGGTTAGTTACTTCATGTTGTATTTTTAGTTTTACCTAATATGAATAAATAAACAAAGTTTATACAATTTATGAATATTTAAATAATGAATAAGTACATTTATGCATGAACAGTAACTAAACATGTATTAGTGTGTCATGATTAGTCCATTAAATTAATCAATTTTTCATTTAACCCGGCATTATAATTATTATTTAATAAGTTAATAAGATACTTTAATATATTTTACAGCCAACCTTATTAATGATTATATTAAATTGATTTTAAAATTTCCACTAAAATTGTGTAATTTATAAATTTCATACCTAATATTATTGTTTTAGTATAATTTATATATTTTTATTAATTCATCTAATCCGTTTATAGTTTTGTCTCTTGTCTGCATTATTATTATTAATTATTATTAATCTAATTGTAGTTTTCTTAGTTCATTATTTATATAGTTTATAATATATTCATAATTAATTAAACATAATTAATCAGTATCAAAATAAACATTAATTTTTTGTTATAGAAAATTAGAGAACTTATTGAAAAAAATATACCAGACGAGGAGGCGAGTAAACTTGTTATGTTGTACGCTTTAAAATCGTTCAGCAAGGATAGTAATAGAGAATTAACTAGTTTAATACAAATATTAAAATCAAAAAAAGTTGCCGATCATTGGATAGAGGTATTCTTATATTGGTAATATTTCAATTGATTTTTGTTCATGAGTATTTTATTAATTTCAGCTTGTACATGATGTTATGAAATTCCAAAGTAAAATAATTTTAGATAATGAAAATACATTAAAAAATGCGAAACAAATAACAAAAAGATTCTATAAGGTAAAAATAATTCATTACTAGTTATTATTATTTATTTATGTAAACAAACATACAGTTTAATTCTTATTTAAGTATAATCTATTTAAATTAGGTTTCTTAACTATTAAAAAATCAAAACAATATTTATTAATAAATATATTTGTCTTATAAATGAGGAGGAAATCATATTTTTAATTGGATTTTAGGACTTGAAGGGTGTTGACAATATATTTACTCAACACGTTCCACTGATGAAGGAATTAGTTGAAGATTTGATAAAATCAAGATTAAAAGAAGAACAATACCCATTCTTAAGTGACATAAATCAACCTACAAAAAAGTATGAGTATGATTATAATTTTTCATTAAAATTGTTTTAACTATTTAGTATAATTATTAATTAGATAGTTGTTGTAACTTAAGAATTATCTTTTTACACAATATAATATTATCACCATTCAACAAAAATTTTTTTTTGTTCAGTTATTTAATTGTAATATTTTTATTTGGTAGGGTGCAAGATATAATTGTTTTTGTAATTGGAGGTGTTACATATGAAGAATCAATGGCAATATACAATCTGAACACAGCTAACCCACAGGTTAGGATTATATTGGGTGGTAGTACGGTACACAATTCCTCAAGTTTTTTAAATGAAGTAAAATTGGCTACATTTGGAGTGATAAAGAGCAGAGGTGGATCTCGAAAATTATAAATTATTCTATGAATAACAAGACATACTATATTTTTTTTTTTTATTGATACTTTTACTTATTCATTAATAAAATTACCTGTGTTTTATGTTTTATTCATATTTATTATTTATTATTTATTATTATGTGCAATGTATTTTAATTTGTGTTAACTTATTTTTTATATGATTATTATTTATTTATTACACACAATTATAAGAATTTTTATAGTTGTTACTTGCTATATCCTAGAAATTACTAATAAAATAATAATTTAAAACCAATGAGATTATTTTTAATTTTATTCATTATTAACAGCTCATAAACCAAACAATTTTGGATTCTCGATAAAAACAAATAACCTCCAAAAAGTGTTTAATCATTTTTATATTTTTTAGTTGATATTTGCATGATAAAGGTGAGTTGTAAGAAAGGGTGACAGTTGTACAGGTCAATCATTTCATAATTATGCTCATAGTTATTGCTTACAATTATTTGTTAGCACTTGATGGTCGTTATCCAAAAACTGTTGTTTATAAGTAGGGTTTGGATTTAAAGGCAATATAATCAATAAAAAAAGCATTTAATTTATAGAAAAAAGAAATTACAAATTACAAAAAAATTAAAGTTTGTATTAAAAAAAAATTCACTACATTGTACTTAGATAAACTGTCTTCATTAAAACGTTGATGATTTGGGCTTAAAATATTTTTGTATATAGAAAATGATCTTTCTACGTCTTCGGAAATTATCGGGGCAGCCTGACGAACAATTTTGAATCTAGTATCTATTATGATCATATTATAATCTTTAGATAGATAATATGGGTACCTTTATCAACGTTAAGAGGTTGCAACTGCATGTGTCTCTCCGTCTTACAAGTGTATAGCAAAAACTGTTTTGTGCAGGAAAGAATCGAGAAAGCATAGTCATGACTAAGAAACGTAATTTTCAACACATAAAAGGGAGAACTTTGCCTGTGCAATATTGTTTTTATTTTTTCGTTATCACAAATTGAAAAAGTTAAAGTTTTAAATTTTAAAAACATACATAATAATAGATTTGAAACAATAAGAACTTTTTACATATGTGATATAAAAAAAAAAAAAAACGCAACTGCACAGCCAAAGTCCTTTTTATATGTGGTGAAAATTTTGTTTCTTAGTTATGAGTTAAGACTGTGGAATTCTAGGTTCTTTCCCTGTGCCAAAACGTCTTTGGTATGCCGTACATGTATAAGACAGAGACAACATACGCGGATGCAACATCCTCTTAAATTAACTGGCCTTACCAAATACTCGATAAATATCTCTGATAATGAAACCCATTCAAAATAATTGACAGACAACAATGCAGTCTTCAGAAAATCTTTTGTACCGTTAATACGTATTTATGTATATAACTATCAAGTCAATTTAAAATTATACACAATAAAGGCATTATTAAGTGTAAAAGGCAAAAAAAATTTGTACATCATCTTACATATTAAATGACACAGATTTTATAAAAATTATTTCTCTATTGTAATTGTTAAAAAAAAAAAGCTTTTGCCTTTAAATCCAAACCCTATTTATAAGTTTTAATTATGGTTTCAATAATTCATTAATTTAAAAATGTAAGCTGTATTATTTTGTATTTTTTTCACGTACATATTACATATTATTATATGATATAATGTGGAGATAGTGTCCCAACTGAAGTTTGTTGAAATAAGAGGATGTGATTCTCAAAAACGGAATATTTATTATAGACCAGAAGTTCCCAAAATGTGAGCCGCAGTGTCCAAAAACCAAAAATTGCAGTTTTTCTGAAGATATGCAACATACTTATAAATAATGCTTGTGTTCTTTACCTGAACATACATATAAAATATCTTTAGATCTAAATGCTCTTTAGTGCATAAAATAGTAGCTTGGCAACCCTATATTTAAATGTATAATATAATTTATTTATTTTCTTTTTTAAGATACATATATTGTTTTAACTGTTCAGATGCATTTTTAATACCCATTTCAATATATTATAAAATAAAATGTATGATGGTTATTGGGATGTTAGAATCGAATACATTTTACAACCACTAAAAATCGGCCAACTTGACCACTGAGTAAGGTCAAGGAATTATAATTAAACATTTGTTACAGCTTCAGTTTATGCAAATAAAATTATTTAAAGATCCATATCCACACAGCAATTTCAAATAAAATATAAATTGTACTCAGATTAAAAAAAATAAATTATACATTTAAGTTAATTAACAAGTATATTTTTTTCATAATACAATTCAGAATGGAAAATTATGGTTAAAATTTTTATTTCTATAATTAATAATAATATATAATAATACAATACAATTCCAATTTATGGACTTCATGATTATTATTATAGTTAAAAAATATTTCTCACTAAATAAAAGTATAATTAAAATAAAACATATTATTAGTACGATATTACACAAGTATAAAAAGTTTTAATGATAGAAAAACACTTAACATATTACAATTATGAAAGTAGGAGTATGTCCTTGAACACTTAATACTTCTTCAACTTATTATAGCCAATTTCGTTGCCTGAAATAAAAGTAAAATACATTTTTTTAATTTGTAATCATAAATAGAGAAATAAAATATATTTGAGTAAAATTAAATACATGATTTGTAAAAGAAAAATAGAAGCCACAAAAATTATGTTTTGGATGAAGTAATAATAAACATATAAACTAATTTTTCTTCAACTAAATAAGAAAAACATGATAAAATATAATTTAAAAAACCATTTTTAACATTTAGAAATAATGTTTTAAATATTTTTAGATTTTTATATGGGTTTATGAGCAGCAAGGTTTAAAACATAATTTAGTGTATATGTATAACTATATAAGTAATTAAAAAATCTAATATTGTAATTTATTATAATCTTGTAAACGGTACCACCACCAAAAAGTAAGTTTTAAAAAAAAAATCTTTTGAAATGGAATTTTAAGTTTTTAAATTTTTAATACAATTTATGTTTATTTATACAAACACTCACAAAATATATATATGCAATGAAACAAGAATAGGTAACAATAATATCGCTGCTCCAGTGCAGATGTGTGCATCATGTACAGTAGGTTAACTTTGTAATCATAAAATGAAAAGTCAACAATTAATAGTGTGAGTTAATATGATTTTAAACACCTCCTATTTTATTGAGACAATGCTTTTGAGATGTATATAAAATATAAGTAGGGTAGAGTATCAAATTAATAAGTATTACAACAAATCAATGTACTAAGATCAATAGTCAATATCATAAAATCAAGAAAATAATAATGAGGCACTGATTAATAATTATTGGCCTCAGCTTTGTCCATGTATAGCACAAAATGGGACAAATAGCAGTGACCGTTTTTCCATGAGCCTGTACAGCTGCTAGTTCTTGGAGTGATCAGACTAGGAAAAACGAAAAAGGGAAGTGGAAGAGGACCAAGCAAAAACTTCATCTCACCAAACTGCATAAAATATATGGACATTAAAATTAAATGAGGAAGATTAGAAGAATAGCAAAACACACTAATTTGAAAACTATGTTAGAGATTATTGATTACAACAAATCTTTTAATTCAACCTTAATGAGTGTTGTAGTCTTCGCATATATGGGCCTCAATTTAGGATACACATATTTATATTGTTAAATGAAAATAACATGCATTATGACAGATTATAGACAATGTAAAAGCATTAATACCAAATACCAGAATCATTTATTTAGCCTAGGGTGCCTGGGTTGCCGCTGCAATTTTTGAAAGGTGCCGGTCAACCAAGTTTTAAGTCAGAAGGATACACCTTTGATTTAAAAAAAAAATTACTTTTATGTTGACATTGTTATAATTACTATTTACTTACAAAGATAGGTTTGACAAAATTAGGTAGTATCTTTATTTTGTTAATAACATGTTTTCTCAAATTGAGTTCCTGACTTTGGAGAAACCTACTATAAAGACCTAATACAGACTACACGGTACAGTACGCAGCTATTATTCAATATTATTGTTGTATTATTTTTTATTTGTAGCTAGGTGGTGTAATCCAGGGTTACTGTAGATTATTAATTGTAAATATATAATTCAGACTTCTTTTTAAATTATATTAATATTTCATTGGGGAGGTTGGATGACTTCAAAAAATACCACCTTGGGTGTATAGAGCTTTTTTCGGTTCATTAATAAGATAGTGTCGGTTATTAGCTAGGCTGCCGCTGCGGATGAAGTCTAGTGAAGCCTATGTATGATATAATTTATGTTTGGTGGAAATAATTATATTATTATCTATATTCGTATGTTGGTTTAATACGATTATTCAGTTTTTAAGTGAGTTTTGAACATTTTTAATTTACACTATTTTAAGTATTTACCATCAACTTTCATAATAAGGTCGGTTATTAAATTTGCTAAGTAATGCACTTGTAAGACAGAGACAACGCAGGTGTGATGTCCTCTTAAGATAATATAATGCAATACTAACTAGCGGTAGTCGCAATAACGAAATTGAGCAACAAAAAATTATATGTAGCGGAGATAATCATAAGACTAACAAAGGATGGTAGGATAATGCAGATTTGATAACTTCAACATTATAAATTATAATATGCAAAATATTTTAAATTGGCATATCTCCTCTAGGTCTTAGATTACGTATTTATATTTATCTAATCATAATAGAATAGAGAAATTTACAACTGTTTAAATAAATCAATAACTAATAATAATTGTCAAATAGTTAATTAAACTCTAATTGTTACATGTTATCAAATATGAGCCTCAGTTACCAGTGGCGTAACTGGATAAAAATCTAGGGGGGGAGGCAAAAAAATTAACCCCTCGTTCGGCCGTTCTTATAGTCATAATCGTGATTTCAAGATAATAATAGTCAGGAATAATGCGATTATTGCGATAACAGTAACACTGACAATACGTCAACATAATATTATTCAACAAGAGATACCTAAAATAAATATAAACTTTTATACAGTTGAGGAAAAAAATATTTGAATATTATAGTATTATATTAACAGTCTTGTTAATAATACTTTTTAATGTGGATTATTTGGAGGGGTAAAATAATACTTTTGCACCCACAGACATTACTGGTGTTGGGGGGGCAAGTGCCCTCTCCCCCCTCAATTACGGCACTGTCAGTTACAATTTTTAAATGTCTTTAATCTTAGGACAAGCCATATAATAACATGTAGGCATTTATATATTATTAGCTAACTACTGTGAACAACATAAAATTCAATTAAGTTAAATATTTTAATGCAAAGGCTCAATCAAAATATATATAGCTAAAATAAAGTATATCAAAATAATAGAGTTAACACTATAATTTAATTAGGTACCTCATAGTCAATGTGGGTTTTTGGTTTTTAACATTAATTGTCTTACACGTGTCTTGTGAAGTTATCCTTGTGTTTACTGTAAAATCAAAAAATATACATTACAGTTGTTTATTGTGACCAAGAATATGTGGTGTATTTTACTATCGTATGAACATTTATTTGAGAACTTCGAGGATGCTAGATCGGAATTAATGTTAAAGAATTAGTATTTTTTTTTTTTAGTTGATCTTAAGCCTGGCGACTATGGCCATTAGCTGAATGGTTTTGTAGGTTTTAATGTCGGTAGGGAGGGGGAAACCCATATGTGTTTTGTTGGGCAGAAATTTTTGATTGGCACCCGTAGGTATCTGCCATGCCCAGGTGGGGGATGGCGGCATCGTGGCTTGCCCGAAGAAAAATGCAGCCCTTGACGGAGGTAACAAGAAAGCGTCGGCTGCGTCGCAGGCCAATACCTTAGACTAATCGGCCACTCCGCCCTCCCCCCACTAATTAAACTTTTGTAAATACAATACAACAGATGTCAACAGATTAACCAATATCATTGTTTAATCATTGTATGTCACAACTAAATAAATTGTGTATGAATGTTCCTGATACAAACCAGTCTTACACAATATTTTGTTAAAAATTGACATTTGACACTAAATATTGGATATGTAACTGAAACATATTATTTTATTTTATTTTTTTCAACTATCTTTAAGTACGCGCAATTATTACATAAAAATTGTATACAACTAAGACTTGTTAAATTTTATGAATAACAAATTAATGATTAACATTTAAAACCAAAACATACAAATTCACCAACATCCTTTTATTTTTTTTTATATATTTCATAGCATCAATACAACTTACCAGATTTAGCGGTTAAAATATTATTAGTATTATTTCGTGCTTTAGTAACAGCTTTGGCAAGAATTGGATCAGCCAGTGTCCTAGTTGCAGCCATAATAAGTGGCATGTTTTCTTGGTTAACTTTCCTATTATTAAGTCCAGTTTTGTGATTATTGAGTACCAGCCTTTTTCTTTGTATGGTAGGCTTGGTAATTGATTTAGTTAGGCACCGTGTATCAATTGGTGGTTTACTTCGATGAGGTGTGGTCGTAGTAGCCAGACGTTTAACAGATGCTAAATCTAAATTTTGTTTCAATACAAAAGTATTATTTAAACTTTCTGCTTGAGCTGAAATTACTACAGTTTCATCAGCATTTGAATCTGGCGATGTGTCCATTTTATTAATTTCAGGCTGTAATGTGATTTGTTCAAACTTGTCTTCAACAATTTGCAAAGGACTCTTAAAAATATTAAAATTAGTTTATAAAATATTTGATTCCATAAATACTTTACTAACTTACCATGCACTCTTCTAATTTAATAGGTCTTGAAAATTCCGGTTTTGTACAGGTTCTCAAATTTTTAATGCTAAGTTCATTTAAATTAAAATACTCATCCCTCTTAATTTTACATTGGTTTCCTGGTGAAAAATCCCAACTAACTGCTTTCAAACCACCCAAAAATGATTTTGTTATATTCTAGAATAACCAAAATTAGAAAATAAATTAAAATTATATTTTAAACAAGTTATTTTTTCATTATAATAAATAAATAATTTCAAAGTTAAATCATAACAATTACTTACATTATGGTTTTTTTTCATATCTTCTGTATTTTTATTATGTGCTTCTAATAATGTATAATATTGATTAGATTTTTCCGCAAGCATAGTTATTAGTTCATGACTTATATTAAGGTTACTGTCCAATATCATACCAATTTCATTTCTATGCTCGAGGAGAGTAGCTTGCTCTTCTGCGATTACCTAATTATTTGTTTGAATAATGTTATTTGTTTTAACTAGAAACGTATAAATACATACTTCAGCATTAAGACGAACAATATCCACATCTAAAAATTGTTTAACATTATTTTCTTCAAGTTTTTTTAAAAATAAGTTTAATTCATTGTTAGATGCAATTGCTTCATCCCACAATATATTTAATTGAGCATTTAAACTAGCCATGCGCCCTTTAAATTGTTGAATAGCCAGGTTGATTCGATTCAATTCACTAGTCTACAAAAAATTAAATAATACACTTTGATCAATTAGAAATAAAATAAATGATAACTATTACAAACCATTTCATCTATATTTGGAACATTAAACGAAGAGAATCGTTCAATTAAATTTTTCTTTAAAAATATTCTCAATTCAGTCTTTTTTTGTGTTGACTCTAAACGAAGAATTTCATTATGTTTTTTTATTTTGCCAGTGAATAAAGATTCTAAAGTTGATTTAAGATCGTCTAAATTATCTGGAGGTATTGGAGCCTTAGACTTTAATACTTCTTCATATTTTTTCTTCAGATGCTGAATTTCATCTTCTAAGCCTGATATTAATTTTGTGTAATGTGATGGGGGATGATTGATTGACATTACATTTTCTTTTAACTAAAATAATAAAATGTTTATTAAAACATATTGAATTGTTAAAATACTAAAAAAATAATACTCACATTAGATTTGATTTTCATAGCTCGAGAAGCATACTTTAAAGTATTGTGGGTATCTTCATATGATGACAAAGCCGGTGATACACATGATATCATCAATGTCTTACAGTTCCCACCAAGAGAATCTTTTAATAATCTAGTTAGTTTTGAGTCTCTATAAGGAATGTGTCTCAAACCATCTGACAAATTGTTGATACAATTTCCTATCATAAATAATTAAAAATAATCAGAATTATACACTTAATTTATAGCTTGTATAGCTATAAGGTATAGCTTTAATTTATAACAATGAATGTGATACCTAATATACACAAAAAAAAGTGTCCTATACTACATAAACATAACCCAATCTATACACAATATATATGATACATTTAAATAATTACTTTTTTATATATTAAACCGATGATTCCAAACATATTGTTCTGGCGAACTACGAATTTACTCTGTTTTTGGTGCACGACCACCATTAATAGAACTATATAATACAACTAAAATCAAATAGATATTCCATAGTATACCTAGTATTATTAACAATAATTTTTATTATAAGAAATTTTACCATTTAATCTTAATATAATGTGATACTGAATAATAAATACCTAATCCTGTTAAATAAAAATTATTTTTAATATAAAATATTTAGATGTAAGTACTTTGGAATAAAACAATATACAAACAATCAATTTAATATGATTATAACATTGTCCACTATCATAATAAAATAATACAATAGTTCATAAAAATATAATTATATCCATTTAAAATCTGTCCTTAAATACTTATTAATCTTCATATTATTATACCTAAGGGTATAAAATAAAATATAACAAGAATTTTAGGCTAAAATTATTTTCATATATTCTTTGTTTTTTTATTTATAATATAATCAAGTTATCCTTAGGTTTCCTTATTAGGTTATTAGTTTACCTATATCAAGACTCAAAACAACACTAGGTTTAGGAAACACTGTATTGAACTATACATTTAATAGTTAAAATTCTTATGGCAGGTTGCACAAAAAATGTATTAATTTAACAGTTCAATGAAATTTAATGGACAAATCATGTTTAAGGACATAATCTTACTATTGATTAGTTAAATGCTTAGTGATTGTTAATGCAACTTGGCATTAAAAATATAATATTTAAAAAAAAAACAACATACCAAGAGCAAGTAGTGACTTATTAATGTTAGATCCTTCTTTAAACCTCATCCCCTTATTAGACGATGCTCTTTCTGAACCAGCAAGATCAACCATAGACAGCTTGGCCATTTTGACCTGATCTGTATGTTTAAATGTCATCTGTATGTATACTTGAAACAATGCATGAGATCTAGATGACTCAGCATTGGCATCAGTAGGGTGCTGAGTACGATTGTCATTGCCTTTACGTAGCATTTCAATAAGTTCATCAACATTATTTACCATTTTTATTGTAATACCAGCAACTGATGTTGTATTTCCACATTCACGTAAAAATAAAGGCTTTTTATCACTTACTAACAAGTCGTATACCATTTCATTATACACCTAAAATAAAAATAATTCCAATATTATTTAAATCCTCCACTTTTTTTAATATAATATTTTAATACATTACTTCAAGATAGGAAACATAAATTTCAAATTTTTTAGAATTCTGTTGTTCATTTACTTTTTCATACAAGTCTTTCATAGTTAAATATGTAATACCATAGTTGATTTCATTACCCAGCATGGTAAATGTTTTTCCAGCCCCTGTTGCTCCATAAACGAATACTAAAATACAAGAATAAATTAATTGTCAATTAAAAATAAACTATATAATAATTCATATGGTAAACTATTTACCATAAAATAATAACAAACCAATAAAAAAAAAAAGGTGGGCAAGTGGGTGTTACTGTGCTGTACAGTAGGTTACAAGTGGGTCACTGTAATGGAATTTGAATTCAATGATATAATATCATTGTACATGAAAAACGATTCTGAGCGAAGACAGTCAGTCAGCCTATTATAAATTACTAAGTATATTTGATAATTTTATTGACATTTATTGAAAAAAAAAAATAAATGAAACTGAAAATGTGCGTAAACGGCACAAACATAATATATTTTGAAAATATTATGGTGTATAGAAAATGCTAATGTAAACATTAACCCGTTATTCCTTAATTTTTTTTTTTTTTCTTAGCGCTTTTGAAAACTATTAGGAATTATTACACTTGATTCACTTTCCTATCAAGAAAGATACTGTTAAAGAAAATGTAAGAATTTTTACTGTCATAAAAATTGATAATAGACACAAAATAAAAAAAATGTGAGTGTGTGAAACAGAGCAGAAGATCGACAGATTAGGTCATTAAATAAAGTTAGATTAACTAATGTAAATTTGTTTATTTTAAATGTGCATAAGGAAGCCTTATATTTGATTTCAAAATCAAAAGGCGCCGTGGATCCAAAAAGGTTGAAAGCCACTGGTATAGCATATTAAATTGATACATACCAGAACAATTATATCCACACAGAAGTTTGTCAAGTAAATCTTTAGTGCTTTCATTATAAATATCTTCATTAGAACTTTGAGGTCCAAAAACACGATGAAAATCGTACTTTATCGATTTATGTTGTCGTTTTGAAATATCTCGAGGATTTTGCTTAACACCATGGAAAAAAAATGGTGTCTCATCTTGTTTTGGATCAAATATCAAGGCATTATCATTTCTAATTCTGATTGTTTTACTGTAAATCATGAAACAAGGTTATTGAAATACAATAAATAATAATGGCTTAATTTAATTATAGCGTTATATTTATTTTTATTCATTAATATTAAGTATAGGATTAATCCTATTAATCAGTAAACATTTTATTTATTATAGAAAACAGATAGGTACCTAAGGGAAAATAATATACCTCATTGATTAATTTTTGTTCTCGTAAAGATATTTTATACTAAATTTATTTTGGGGAGCCAGACTTTTTTTATAAAGATTTATTTAGAATACATTTTTCCTTACAACTATTATCTATTGTCAACAGAGGTCACTATAACTTATCCTCACTATGAGAGGATACTACAATGTATAATAATAAATTCTAATAATGAGGGATTGACATTGAAATTGTCTGCAATCGTACTTTTTAGCCGCTCCTTCTATATAAGTGGATAACTAATTTTTATCTTAATATTATAATATACTTATTCAAAGTTAATACTGAATTAAGCAATTAAATGTTCAATACAGCTAAATAGTTTTAAAATTATGATTTATAGTTCTTATTAAATTGAAACACCAAGACCATAGGTGTAATCTCAGAGGTGCAAAAGACCATGGACTTGTTCAGTCTGAAATTGTTTAAGCTATTCAATGATATAACTTTTTAGCACTGTTACCCTCAAAACATTTTTCAATAGGCGTGAGTAGCCTGAAACATTTAATCAACATAATAGGGGCAAGGCACAATTAGTGCAATTATTGTCTATCAGTCAAATGGTTAATCAATAATAAAGAGTTCTATTATTTATTTTAATATATTTGAAGTACCTACATATAATATATATTTATAACAAATATTGAAGTAGCGGTCACACCATATTATATCATACTATGGCCGTTAAAACACTTAACCTGCCGGTAATAAAATCTGTTATCAGTCGGTTAGCGTAACCGACACGTCTTTAGTGTACATAAAAACTGAGTTTCAAAAGAAATGTAATAGTAGTGTGATAATATTTAATAAAAATTAGGATGCAAATAAAAAAAAACACCAAAACAATAATAAAATAAAAATCTAAAAATAAAATTGTTTTTTATTTTGTCATAACACTCATAATGGTTATAATATTATAATAAATTTATAAATTTACAATGTTTAAACAAAGATTATTGAAGGGTATTAAATATTCTAAATATCTGTGGTTGTATATAAGAAGGATGTTTGGGAGGAAGAACAGCAAAAAAAATGTAAATAAAACTTATATTTTGGAAAAATGTAAAATGAAGCATAAATAATCACTGAATAATATTATGTAAGTTTTGTGAAGAAAAAACCTAAATTAAAAAATAAAATCTCCTATACATTCACATATATTATATTCGTACACCTAATATACGTTAGTTTGGTGTGGATAACCCCGAAATAAAATTATATAGTTTACTATGTTAAATTGTTAAAGTTATCAGAAAACATTAGGATATATTTTGTTTTTTTCATTTACCTAATTATACCTATTATACCTATTATTAAAAATTATTGGTAAATGCTATCAAAAAAATAACTACACTACGACACAGATAAAGTTGTTCCTTATATGCATTGTGGAATTTTGGTAATTCTACTATAAATACCGAGGGACCGAGGTTCTTTCCCGCGCAAAACAGTTTTTTGCTATGTTGTACATTTGTAAGACGGAGACAACGCATACGGGTACAAAGTCCTCTTAAAGCAGTTAAAGATATACAAGTTGCACATCGCCACATCGACTTTCAAATTGGTGTACAAAATGTAGTGATGACTATATAAAACGGGTGTAAAAATTAACCACTAGCGCTTGATGTTAGGTTTACTAATTTAACAAGGTATCTAGTATCTACTGACTACTAGTATAACTTATAAATCAGCAGTTTCCAATTCATACTATCGTAATTTGTGATTTGTATTCAAATAATTTGTAATTATTATAAATTTTAGTCGTGGACCACATACAATTAATACGAGGGCCACGGGTTACTGACCCCTGTATGACTGTATCTTAGACTATATCATTAATAATCCAGATGAGAAACATGCGACGCTCAACTTTGGAATGCACAGATCAAACACCTAATCACGGATCGTCGCTGATATTGGCAACTTTTAATACGGATATAAATGATATAATACGCCGTAGCGCTCGCTCCATCCATAGTATGATCTAAGGCTACGATTTAAAATCTAGCCGATTTGGTCGGCCTGTTCCAAAGCTTATATATAGTTAATAATAATAATATCATAAATAAACCTTGGGCCCGTTCGGCCCGATGTCACCACTGAGCATGCGCAAAACATTACCGTAATATAATTATGTTACCCTGTCACGCACTATATTTTTAGTCCAGACTCCTGACGCATGCGCAATAAATTTATCGGGAACGAACGGCCCGACGCGCGACGCCCCGCCGACCAAATCGGCTTCAAGCGCAGTCGGGCAGACTACGCGTGATACACGCTATACGCATTCAGTAATCAGTATGTGTTATCTAAGGTAACTAACAAACACCAATGACCTATTGGCTATCCTTTTAATAACTAGGTAGTTAGTAAAAACAAATCCTAGTTAATAACTATTAGTTAATAGTTATTGTAGAGCAAATTAACCAAGTTCTCTAAGTTTGAAAAGACATAAATATTTGTTATTATTTTATTTTGCTGTTAATATCTTATGGTTATTCAATAGTAGTGTTTCAAAATAAAATTAACTTATCAAACAAAAATATTTAACTGTATGATTTAACAAATGTCGTGTAGAATGAACATCTTAAGAAAATTAGTTACGAATGCAAAACCAAAACTATTTATAAGAAAATTAGTAACATTGAAAACTGCAAATGAACCTACACCAATGACTGTATTTGACAGAAAAGCTAAAATTATTCAAAAACAACGAGCAGCAATAGCAGAAGATAGTTCCGTTTATGAATACATTAAAGAAGAAGTTGGATATCGTTTATCAGATCGCCTCTTTGATATAAAACGACAATTTAATTTAGTGGTTGATCTAGGTTGTGGATATGGACATGTATCAAAACACATTTCCATAGACAATGTAAAAGAGTTGATTATGTGTGATATATGCCAAGAAATTTTGAATAAAGCCAAAAATCCTGAGCCCGAAGTAAAGGTTAGTAAAATAGTAGTAGATGAAGAGAAATTACCTTTTGAAAATGATAGTATTGATTTAATAATTAGTTGTTTAAATCTTCACTGGGTAAATAATTTACCTTCAACTTTCCTACAAATTAAAAATTCTTTGAAAAATGATGGAGTCTTTTTAGGAGCAATGTTAGCAGGTGACACTTTATTTGAATTACGATCGTCATTACAATTGGCAGGCATTGAACGTGATGGAGGTATAGCACCTAGAATATCACCTTTTGTTCGTCTTAGGGATGTGGGAGCACTAATGCAAAGTGCTGGATTTTCAATGCTAACATTGGACACCGATGAACTAATTATTCGTTACCCATCAATGCTTGAACTAATGTGGGACTTAAAAGGCATGGGAGAAAATAATGCTGTTCTACAGAGGCCATTGCGACTGAACAAGAATACTATGTTTTCGGCAGCTGCTATATATGAAAAACTTTATGGTAATAATGATGAAGACAGTGATACTAAAGGTATCCCAGCCACTTTTCAAGTTTTGTACATGATAGGATGGAAACCAGATCCATCACAACCAAAACCATTATCCCGAGGTTCAGGACAAATATCAATTAAAGATATTGGAGAGCTTGATAAGATTGTCAAAAACTTAGGAAAGATTGAAACCTAATTTTCTTAGTATTCAAAAAGTTATTATGTTCATAATTTGTACTTGATTATTATTAAATGTGTTAAATATAAGAACAATTAATTGAATACCTAACATTTAGTTAGGTACCTACATATTATGTATAGTATTAATGTGTGAATATTTCAAGTAAAAATGTTAAAATAAAAATATATCAAGCTGAACCAATGAATAAACATATTATAATTGATTATAAATAGGTAATAATAATGTTTCACTAACTATAATATGTATATATTATGCCTAAAGACCTTGTAGGTATAAATGATTATATGCATATGATATTTTATATTTTGTTAACAATAATTTAGGTACCCAATATTTTTCCTCATATTGTACTTATTTTTTTGTCATGAATTGTTTCTATGTTTTAAATCAATTTTTAAAAAACTGAAAAGAGTATTAAAATTACTAACAATAAGATAAATATTTAAATAGTAGTCTTACGGCTTAAGTGAATCCTCTTCTTCTGGTATAGGTTTGATACGAACAAATACTCGCATCTGCTCTTCCTTGGTAACATTTCGTCCCCGACCAGGTACAAGTTTTTTCAAATTTTCTAGGCTTCTACGGTTAAGAACCATTATAAGATTTGTACTAAAAAAACGCAAATACAAATTGATAATTTTATTAATGATTAAGAATTTAGTTTTGAAATAAATTAATTTCTAAATTTCTCGGCTTTTAGTAGGTACTCTCGACCTATGTTAAAAAAATAAAATTAAAATAATTCCATACGAACAATTGCATTTTATTATTTTTAAATTAATTTTCTTATCAAATTGGAGCAGTAAGTATGTTGTTCTAAAAAATATTAATTAATAAAACTGGAATTACCAACTATAAAGCTCAAAAATAGGAAACAAATCTTTGAGTAACTCACCCTTACTCTTGTACCAGCTGTAGAGGAACCATGCCGATGTTATAATAATTGTGTTCAAATCCTTACCTATCTACAATTTCACGATTATGTTAATGACGTTTTGTTTATTTTCATACTCATTCGAAGTCACTACGAAAATAATTAAAACCGGACACGAGTTTAATAGATCAATAATGACATCAATGACTGCATTTCAAACGATTTATCACTAGCAAAGTCAACATTAATAAATATGTACCTTAAAAACATATAATAGCGTAAAGAATACTTTAAAGGACAAAGGTACACCACACTAGTTTAACTAAATAATATTACCATTAGGTGTTTAGTATAGACTTCAGAAAATACGTTATGTTTGTGAATTGGTGATTTAAAAAAAAAATAATTAATTGCATGATAACTACAGCGGCCCAACCACAGTCCTGCTTACACGTCAACAGTGCTACCAACGGTAACTATACAATATTTTAATTAAAAAAAGAAATACAGTCTGGTGGAGACAATTTAAACCATCCGATACTTGATATTCTTCATATAATCACAGAACAATATATAATATGATATAATTATTGTAATAATTTGTCAGGATAATAGATATATATATTCATAGATAATAGAAGATTCTTCCTAGATAGATCCTAGGCCGTGGCACAACTATAGATACAACATGTCTACTATAGTATAGACATGTCACATGTATATTGGAAATATTTATTACCATAATGGCATAATTATTATATATTATATTATATCATCATAGTTGTGTATATCTATGGTCACGATCACTGATAAATATACAGATATATCTTTAATCGTGGTATGTATATGTATATATTTGTGCTATTATCTCAGTGGACGAACAAGAGGAGTGATACCGCTTAACATCGGAATCTATGCGGAATCCTGATATATACTGATAATTGATATATATATATCATGATATAAACTGTACGGAATGTTATTGTCATTTATCAAACTCAAAACTGCTTAGATAAACGGTTTTGTGTCTAATCGGTACCCACTACCTTATACTTTCATTTGATTTCGTATTTTTGTCGATAAAAACGCAGCTTATATTAAAACTAAAATAGTAAAAAAACCTGGTAAATAGTTAATACTAAATATTCGATCGTCGTGCAGTGGTTAATAGTTTCGAAAATGCAAGCGGCGCTAATCTGACTTCTATAGGAGTGACGATTGCTTGGCGTGATGTCGGCCACAAACTCGAACAAGTTCGTTACAAATAGCTTGCCGGAGTTCCTGTTGCTTGTAGCGCAATCGCTGGAAACCCTGTTCGCCATGGACGCGGTGGTGTTGCGAAACCTCCATTCGGTAATCGTCTGTTACGACGTGCAAGTTTTCTACCGGAACCGTGGCGGCGTAGACGGGCCCTCTGTTGGCCTGGACGAGTTCGTGTTGTATTGTGATAGCAAGATCCAGCCACAGCTGGTCAACGATGAAGGAGATGACGGCCCTCGGGACACTTACCGGTGTTCGATGACTATCAGCGATCTGATCCGAATGGAACCGTGGGCCCAGCTCTACAGAGTCGTTGGGCCTCGCGTCATGCGTCGCCTGCTGTTCGACTGTCTGCTGTTCGTGCCGCTTGGCAGACACGTTTACTACTGCGTGCGGTCACCCTCACAGTCAACGAGCCGGTACGAAGTGATACAGGCTTTCCGGGTCCGGGCCGGTTCGCGATGGAAGGCTGGGCGGCCATCGAAGTCGAAACCACCGACGCAGAAATACTTCAACATCGCAGGCTTACTGCGGGAAGTTCAGCCGATCGGACGGCAGGATTCGGCCGACATGTTGGGTAGCATACTGAACACCGATGTCGTCAGAGTGGTGGAAGGCAGTCCGCGTACCGCCAAGCTGGACTACATCAGGACTAGACCATGTCTTGACCGGCTGGCGCGCAAACTCAAAGTGATTGCGGACAAGGACACTTCGCGTGCATACTGGGACATTTATCGAGATGTGGTGGGCGATTGCCCGTCGGTCGAGGTGCCATTGAGCAGGGTCAAGTCGTTCGCCAGGGCGGTGGTGTGCAAGATCGTGCCACGTGAGGTGTTTGGGACGGCCAGCAACCGCGACCAGTTCTGCAACAACGTGTGCCGGGTGTTGAACGGTGGCAAGTTACACGACTACGCAGTGGAGCACATCGTGTACAAGATAAAAATGAAGAAGATCAAATGGCTGGAGAATGTGGCCGCAGACTGGCGGGCCGAGATCGCGGCCAAGACGCTGGTGTGGCTGACCAACGTGTTTGTGTTTGGCCGGATCGTCCATTGCTTCCGGGTCGTTACGACCACCACGCCTACCAACGGCGTCGCGTACGCTGTTAAAGCCAAGTGGGCGAACATGTGCCACGAAAAAATATCGCCGCTGATGGCTGCCAACAGTGAATTTTTCAGACAAATCCAGCCCGATGACTCGGAAACGTCGTCGTCGTACAGGAACTGGAAAGTGTGCCCATACGCGAAACCTAACGGAGTGCGACTGATATTCAAGCTGCGGCGGAAAGAGGGCAGAAACGAGAAGCGTCTAACCGACGACTGCCAAACATTTCTGCAGTGTCTGTCGCGCACTCGACCCTCCGAATATCGATCCGTGACGAGGCCGCAGTTCTTTCGCAGATGGAAGGCGCTACAAGAATCCCGGAGTCTGTCCGCCACCCCCGCGTTGTTCTACGTGCGCACTGATTTCCGTGACGCGTTCACAAGCTTCGTGCACGAAAAACTGCTGACGGTCATCCGGGACAGGATCAAGGAACGTTTCGGCAAGAAGCAGCGGATGGTGGCTGTACACACAGTGGACGTAGTGAAAATTGGCGGCGGCTCCGTGTACTACAAGAAGTGTCGCTACGTGGGCGGACTGCCAACTCCCGAGTTCCAGGGCGGGTCGTTGGTGTTCCACGACAAGACGGACTCGGTGCCTCTGTTCCGGATCTGGAACGTGGTGCGCCGTTGCATAGTCTGCAACGCCGTGGAGCGGGGTGGCTGCCGGTGGGGTATGACCAGAGGCGTGGTACAGGGCGACCGGCTGTCCGTGGCCCTCTGTGACCTGCTGCTTTCCGACCTGCATGCTGCCCGACTAACGAATCTGGTGGATGGTCGATCGGGAAGCCAGCTGTACCGGTTTGTCGACGACTACCTGTTCGTGTCACCCGACCGAGACGCAGCCCTCCGGTATCTGGCCGCGATGCGCGCCGGGTTCAACGATTACGGGCTCAGGATTAACCGGAACAAAACCGAGACGAACGCAGACAACGGTGGAGTTGGCGGTAGGTTGGTCAAGTTTTTGGGGTTCCGGTTGAACGCGGCCACTGGCGAGGTGACCAAGGACTCTTCAGCGTACCGGAATCGACGGCCACTGCACTTCTTCGATTATGGGCTGGGCCGCGGCCAACCGGGCCGGACCCTGTACGCCAAGGTCGGCCGGCCCAACTGGCACGCCATGCCCGGCGTGCTGGTCAGCAAGTCGTTCAACTCGGCGGCCACAGTGGCCCGAAACGTGGCGTCGGTGGTCGCTTACAAGGCGTTTGCCGTCGTCACGGCCGTCAAGCAGTACTTTTTACACCTGAACCCCGTGTTCCTCGCGAACGCCGTGCGCGCTATCGCCCGGGTCATGTACGCCAAAGCTCGCGCCGTCGTCCGGTATTCGGCCATCACGCCCATGCAGTGCAAGTGGATCGTATATGAAGTGTACGCCACCATGTTCCGCACACATTTCTCCCCTGACGACCGTTGCGTCGCGTCAGCCTTGCACCGGATCCGGATAACGCAGACCGCCGTCGGACGAAAGTGCGCCACTCGCATTCTGAGGGCCGCTCTGAGACGTCATGATTTCGCCAAAATGTTCGGTTGACGAAAAACTCGCACCCGTGGTAATATTTGTATTGTTATTTGTTATTTTTATTGTATTTATAGTCACTATGAAATAATTATCTCATGTTCTCAATAATTACTCTATTTAGATATTAATTACTTAATTTTGATTACCTATTTAAAAGTCTTGTTAACAATATATTCGTTTATTTTCTGTGTGAATGATATAACTGACATAGGCTCACATATGCATCTCATATATAATATCTGTGTTAGTAGGTATTGTAAGGTGGTGATGGTAGGGTTTTTTTGCTGGTGGGGGTTTACACGTAAATGTTTGTGTTTTGGCAGAATTTCGAATGGGGCACCCGTAGGTTTCTGCCATGTCCCGGAGTGGGGGATGACGGCACTTGTTCTCCGGACACCGTGACTTGCCCGGAGAAAAATGCCGCCCAGTGGTCGAGGATCGAACCCGAACCGGCAGCGCCGCAGCCGACGCGTTGACCGCTCGGCCACCTCGTCCCCCAATTTATATTATGTTACTCTATGTAGCAAATAGGTCGATTAACTCCATAGACCTTATACTAATAGACTCAGACTGGCCATTTATACACGTAAAGCGGTCATCGATAGAGGGCGCTCTTCATGTGTGACTTGTGACTGCAGTACTGCACCATAAAAATTATTATATATGTATTCGACGGAGAATGACAACACTGATGTGATTATACTGTACATCACTTCTGTATGTAAAGACCACGAATTAAGATATACAGGATGCCGAACGAGAGCTCTATCAGTGATGAAGACGCGCAGTTTCCAAAAATCCAGAATGACTTATAGCGCTTTTCGCCAACAGTGGCGTTACTGAACTAAAAACAGTGCTACCATCTAGCAAGAATTACGTTTTACGATCTTTATCTGTACAACTTATCAATATGATTAATTTCCCGCTACTTTAGAACTCATCGACTCATACAAAATTAGTTAACCTGTTAAGGATTTCGCCACCGTACCATCTGGGCCCCATAAGTATTTGGAACCTGGACACTTTCGACATCGCACAAAATACTGATAACGGCTGTCGTTCGGCATCCGTGTATATTCTTAATCGGGTAAAGACTAAAGAACCTGCAAGGGCGGGCCGGCCCGACCCGGTCCTTAAAAAGCCCGGCCCGCAGTTACATTGGACCGGGCTTGTGCTTTTTTTTGTACAAATTTTCGGACCAGGCCGGATGGACTTCGAATAATAAATCAAGTGTTGAACGGGCTTTTTTAAGGATTTTTCTTCGAAAATAAATAATCACAATTTAAAATATTAAATTATAATGATAAAAAACCGACGTTGGTACAGATGTTTATAGGTATTATTACTCTATGGTCTATGATTAACTCTAATGGAGCTAAACGTGATCAGCTGAGCGTAAATTTGCCATGTTACGCACTTGTAAGACGGAGACAAGAAATGGCCGTGTTAGCGTCCTGCGCATGTGGTGTGTAACCAGCTGATAATATTATATACAATACACACTCACGACTGATAGTCAAGTTCGAACAACAAAACTGATAATATTTTGATATTTGATCTCAAAAATCGAATTTGGTGGATCCCGAAGTCGTTGATTCATAAATTATTATAGTTGACAATAGTTGTTACCTGTTAATCGTGGTAATTTTTAAATATCCATAATCCATGTTATTGTTACATTACGACGAAATTGGGTGGCGATACCGTCTTACCTAATCAGGTGCTCACAACTCGTAAGTACTTCGTAAAGCAAACTATTCAAGCATTTTTCTACGGTAAAAGTGTAGAACTCGAAGGTTTGGCGAATGACGAGTCTTCGGTATTGTCTAACACCAACTAATAAAAAGTGGTAGCATTCCTAGTATTTGATATAATAAATTCTAGTGCAAACATACGATTACTTGAACAAGTTATAAGCCATACATTAATTAAAAGCCTAGTAGTAATTCAAGGTACCTAATTAGATTAGTTGGTGTTAAACGGCCCAGTGCCAGTTTTTCAAATTTTCCGCAATTCTATATAATTTGAAAATGTATTTTATATTATAGTTGCCAACTTAATTATAATACTTTTCCACTAATCGGTATAAATGCAGTTTAGTTCCTATGCGATTTTTCGATTTTTTTCCCACCAAAATGTGTCTTAAAGCACTGAATACAAAAGTCTGATTCAAAAATTCTCGCAAATTATTATTTTGGAAGTTATATCTTTCCAAGTTACGGTTTACGTATTACGCATGCACTTTGCTTTCCTAAGATTCGTATTATTGTCGCCTCTCATTAATTATGTTATTTTATCTTGTTATAATATTATCTAAAGTAGTTTTGATGAAAAATGTAGATCAATATATCTGTGACCAATATGTGTCCTACATGAGGTGGTTTTGCATAGCAAGTCGAGGGATATTTTCGATTTGCGTAGCGGAGCGACGGCGCCGAGAAGCGTAACGAGGCGTAGTACACGCGTATACACGCGTAGTCACTGCCCTAGCAAATAAAATTTCATTAATTTCACATATTCATAATTCTTTTGTCCCTGTTACCTACTTGAGGTGGTTTTGCATAACATGTCGGAGGACATTTTCGATTTGAGGAGCGGAGCGACGGCGACGAGTGCCGAGGCACGTGTAGTCACTGCCGAGGGATATTGTGATATCAAGCAGTGATATTGTGTACATTTTGGTTTTAATTTAAGAGTTTTTAAACAGCAAATACGATAATTAAAGTCTATTTGCATATTTCCATTAATCATAGAAAACATAGAATTTTAAAAAATCAAAAAGTTTTTTCGATGTTTTTATCGACGATTTTTGAAAAATGTACTGTTTAATAGTTTTTTTGGTACAACTTTTTAAGTATAAAAATGCGAGAATTTTTGAATTAGACTTCTGTATTTAGTGCTTTATAACACACATTTTGGAAAAAAAATAAACGAAAAAATCGCGTGGGAACTAAACTGCATTTGTTCCACGAAAATAATTCTCAGGTCTTGTAAAATTGTCGAATTTTGATAATAATTTTTTTATCTGAAAGAAGAAGACTTCCCCAGGCAGCACCGAACTCCGATTTTTATTTCAAATAATGATATAATATAATTTATAAAAACGGGTATTATTTTTTAAGACATATTATAAAGTTTGAGATTAAAATATTGAGAAACGGAGATTGATGTTGCCAACTCTATTAGTGAAAAAAACAATCATCATTTGGTTGATTTTACAGAACAGGATCATTATTCCCGTAAAGTGTATTTTGTGTAGTACACAATTACATTGCCACCGGGCGCCTTAAGTATAACTTTAACAGTACAACTGTGTCTCACAAAAATATTGATAATAATTGTCAATATTTAATCAAAGTTAAGTTATTATAATGAAATAGGTAGTTTTGAAAAACAGACCTATTCATTCTTTTTTTTTTCGTTTCTTCAGCTGATCACTCCATATAGGCCCATTATTATATTATGTCACCTCAAGGGTCACATTATGGTCCGAATTACTTCTGGTAATCTTAATAAGAATTTGTTTTCATACAATTTTACAGGTTTCTATGTAAGAACATTATGTAGCATTACACATTTGTAGATGAGCCATCAGAATGACAGTCGCGGTATTGGATAAATATCATTTGGGCATTAGTGCCATTGTTGTTGTGGCTATGCAACTTTTATTTTTCACTATTGCTGTAACATTTCAGTATGATAAAGTGGCTGATTTTGCTGGTGGTATAAGTTTCATTTTAGTGGCTCTGCTAACATATGGTTTAGCTCAGGTAAAATATGCTCAAGTATTTTTTTATACCGTATTAATTACTATTAATATTGGTTAATCTAAACTTGCAAATTAAATATTAATTACACATGAGGATGAGAGTATCTAGTAAATAACAATATACCTAATACTCAATGTGATTAAAATTGTTTAAAACAAATAGTCAAATGATTTGTTTACCAAGTTAATGTTAGTAAAATGTTTTTTTAACAACCAAATTAAATCTAATTATTTTATTATTTATATATATCTAAAATTACTTTTTAAGTAATAAGCTAACTTTTACTAATACAACATATGTGATGATATTTCTTAATTATTTAGTTTAAGTCCAAAAGCAAATAGTCCCTGACCCCTGTTATATCATAAATTCATATTTTATATGAAAGTGCAGGAAAATAGTATAGGCAACTAAACATATTGCAATAATGTTGGCATGTTGCATATATAAAATCCCTTTATTTAAGCAAATTGTTCATATATATATATATTATCACGTATGCATTAATACTTAATGGTACTTAATGCATCAAATATAAATATATATTTAAAAAATTATAATATTTAAATTAATTTAAACATCAAACTGTTATTTACTACAAGGTTTAAATATATTAATATTAAATTGAAAGAAAAATATTAGTTTATTGATAAATGTATTTTGGTAGTTAAAGTTATTACAAAAAAAAAAACATACTTTAGTAATATTATAATGATCAATAATAAAGAACTGTTGTATTTTAATTATTTTATACAGATGTTTATGATTTAAATATTTACTACTTAATACTTATTTTATTTTTTATTTAGACACATGATAATCGACAATTTATGGTAACATTATTTGTATGTATTTGGGGTGCCCGATTAAGTTCTTATTTATTTTATCGAATAATAAAAATTGGAAGAGATGCAACATTTCCAGACCGACGTAGCAATATGATTCGTTTTGCTGTGTTTTGGACATTTCAAGTATGACTACTTATTATTTGAACAGATTGTATTTAATTATAAACTATTTTTTTATTTTATGTTATACCAATTTAGTTTTGACTTTTATAATTATTCTTCAGGCTATTTGGGTGCTTGTTGTTAGCTTGCCTATTATTGTTATCAATGCACCCCATAATTCCATAAAAACTGGAGCACCAAAAACCATGACAACTTTGGATACTGTTGGCTGTTGTGTGTTCATTTTTGGCTTCATTATTGAAACTTTTGCTGATTTACAAAAGTATGCCTTTAGAAGTGAAGAGACGAATAAAGGAAAATGGTGCGATGACGGTAAGTCAAAAAATGCTTTTTATCCTGTCATTAGTAGTGCTATTGTCAAAACAATTGCACTTAAATAATATCTTTTATTAAACAAATATTTTCACACCTTTAAGACTTACAAACCTATTAACTTAGTCATTAGTAATTATTGAGAGTGTCACTAAATTCATAATTCTGGGTTAGCAAAATATAAATATCTACAAACAATTTTTGTTTACTAATATCCATAATCCTATACTTAACACTTGATATTCAAATACAGCTAATTTCATACCATCAGAATATATTGTCAATATTCAAACACAATTTTTTTATTTTAAAATTTAAATAAAATCTGTACATTGTTAGGGATAAGACTCGTTACAACTATTCTATTATACTATTTTACTTATTACTTATAAGTTATTGCACTCTTATTAAAAATACAACCTACAATAATAGTTGCCAAATATAAAATTTAAAATTATAAATGAAATCATTTGTATTTTTAATTTATACTGTGCAGGTTAAGTAAATGTTAAAATATAATTATGAAATAATTTCATGCATTAGACTTAAAAGGATGCCATATCCGCATGTTTCTCGGTCTCACAAACATAGCAATTTGTACATTCTAAATTATTTATTTAATTTTAGAGTGAATTGACCAATTACTAAATATCTAAAGTTATTAAAAAGTTATTACTTCTACTTTAGAAGTAAGAATAATATCTAGCGGATGACAGGTTTTTTTGTATATTTTAATTTTTAAGCAAGAATTTTAAAATGTACAAACAATTTACAGTTTTAAAATGCTCATAACTATCTTTAAAATCATCGTTTACAGTTTTACACAATGTATTTAAAAACAAAAGAAAATTGTAATTTAAAAATCCATACAATAAAATATGTTTACATTTTATTATTTAAACATTTCTATTCAGTTGATAGCATAAGTTGTTGCAGCCATGGATTTTATATTATACTCACTACTGTAGTACTGTTAACTTCTCCAGGAGGAATAACGTCAAAATGAAAAATCTAGCCACCGGACCGGGAATCAAACCCAAGTCTCTCGCTTGCTGGGGGATTGCTCCACCGCTAAGTTACCCGACCGCACAGTCCCATGACGCTATCTATCCCAGTTAACACTACTAATTATTATTCAGGATAAGTTTGAACCGCTCGCTAGACCAGAACAAAACACGTTTTTTTCAAGCATTCCGGACACCGGAAGGAGCATATACATGGCGGCCAGCTCTGACAATCGATGACGGGTGGTGATGACTGTCGGCCAATCACAGAACACATAACCATCGCATGGGGTGTCAGGCACTGTTCGGCGGCTCAGTCTGCATGCTCGACGCGGTTCAATATTATCCTGAATAGAGTATATAATTAATTAATATAATATGAAATCAATGCTGCGACTTATATCATTACCAAAAAATTATATTTGTTATTTAACTATCACTATCAACCACTAGTACCACTATCTAACTTTAATCGGTATTTTCTAATATAGTATAAAAGTATTAACTTACATTTAATATAATATTATAATTGGTTAAAAATTAATAAAAATGTATCGAAATAGAAATGGCAGTCAATATGCTAAGGCATTAAAAATAAGATCCATGTTAAATTAGAAATTTCATTGCAATAAATAACAAAGTAATTCATTTGAAAATATTACACAATTTAAGCTAAGTTAAACAATAGTAAATACTAATATACTAGTGTTATATTTTATATGTTTATTTTATTATAGGGCTATGGAGTATGTCTAGACATCCCAATTATTTTGGAGAAATAGTATTATGGTGGGGTGTTTTTATTGTGTCATTAAATGTGATTGAAGGTCCAGAGTATATTGTTGTTATATCTCCAATTTTCACAACATTTATTATTCTCTTTCTCTCTGGTATTCCACACTTAGAACGTGTTTCAGATCATAGATTCAGAAAGTATGTAAACTAAAAAAAAAATACTTTTTATGTAATTTATGTTTGTTAATATAAATAAATAATTAAAAAATTACTAATAATGTGTTATTTTATACATTCTAGCAATGCTCATTATCAGCTGTACAAACGATCCACTTCGCCATTAATACCTATACCGCCGTCTCTTTATATTGAAGTACCTGGTTTTATTAAAATGCTCTGTTGTTGTGAACTACCTTTATATAACTGGATGAGAGCTCATCCTTCAGATCCGCCAGAAGCAGCCCCAGCTCCAAAATCATCCTAGCAAAAAAAGGGAGCGGGTGTAACTATGGTTCAGATTACAGATCGCTCCCAAGAAGGTCCGGTGTACTCGACAGCCACCACGTACGTCTAAAATATAAAAGACTCTAAAAATTTTTATTTGATAAAGATAATTATTATAAAAATAATGCATATAGGCAGAATGAACATCATCAAATAGGTAATTATTAATAAGTCAATGTATAATGCATATTTCTTTTCATGTAAGGTTTAGTTATATACCGTGTGTCCCAAAAATCAGGGGCCACTTTACTACTCATTACCATGTAAATATTTTTCAATTCTGTTTGCAGGACATTAAACTAGACTAATGGATCGTAAATTTCTTTGACTCACAATGTTTTTAACTCATGTATCTTGCGCATGCGCAATAAAACTTACATTTTTTTAAATATCAACCCGTAATTTTAATATCATATTCGGGTTCATCGATTTTTTTCAAGCCATTTTGATGTATCAACTTATGTCCTAAACCCAAAATTGACTAAACTAGAGCTAAGTAGAATTTAAATAATTTAAAAATTCAATTTAATTAATTTTTTTTTCTAACTGTAAATTTTTTTGTAATTTTTTTCTTCTAAACACCATGAAACAAACAAACAATCAAAATTATTATTATTAAACTAATTACCTAACTATTTACTATTTATGAATTATTGTCTTATTTTATTATTACGCATTATAAAATAACATAGTTTAAACATGTATTTTCAAGAAACAACATTTCTATTTTATTTTTTTTACCATTACTATACATTTTTATTTACAATTTAATTTACAGAAATTACAGACATAAACCATTCAATAAACTGTTCGAAAGTCCCTCCATCGTGTAAAGTGCATGCCTCAAATCGACGTAAACATTCACGATTAGTTGCTGCCAGTATTTGGTTTTCGTTTAGGAGGTAACATGCGTGTGTAATTTTATTCTTTAAATCTTGGATGTTGATTGGAGGATCATCAGCATTCACAACATTTTTCAAGTGTCCCCACAAAAAAAAATTCTAACGGTGTTAGATCTGGTGACCTTGGTGGCCACTCTACTGGTCCATGTGTTGCAATAAATTTTTCGCCAAATCTTACTCTCAAAAAATAGTAAATAGTTAATTAGTTTAATAATAATAATTTTGATTGTTTGTTTCACCGTGCTTAGAAGAAAAAAATAAGTAGGTACAGTTAGAAAAAAAAATTAATTAAATTGAATTTTTAAATTATTTAAATTCTACTTAGCTCTAGTTTAGTCAATTTTGGGTTTAGGACATAAGTTGATACATCAAAATGGCTTGAAAAAAATCGATGAACCCGAATATGATATTAAAATTACGGGTTGCCATTTAAAAAAATGTAAGTTTTATTGCGCATGCGCAAGATACATGAGTTAAAAACATTGTGAGTCAAAGAAATTTACGATCCATTAGTCTAGTTTAATGTCCCGCAAACAGAATTGAAAAATATTTACATGGTAATGAGTAGTAAAGTGGCCCCTGATTTTTGGGACACACGGTATATTATTAGAATAAAACCAATTCATCATGGAGAAATAATGAGTTTATGATAAAATTACCGTAAAAAAATGTTATTTTTATTCCAAACAAATTTTGTTTTGTTAGTTACTTAACAGTTTTTTATATGTAAGTGCATGTTTCATTATTAATAATGGTATAATATAATATTATTGTGATGCAGCAGTTCTTCTTCTAATATAGTGTTAGCTTATAAAGGTACTTATTTTACCAAGTAAGTTTGAAATATGCGCTCCAACAATGTTTCAAGGCTAACAACAATAATTCTAAAAAAATGTTTACTATAGTTTTACAATAAACACTAGATTAGTTCAATTCTCCCCCCCCCCCTGTAGTTTTACAAATGTTAATAACATGAAATCATCTAGAGATAAATCCAAACTACAATATTGTTTTTAAATATTTTCATAGACTATAATGACTCAACTATATTCTTCATCATAACATATATTATATACTTAATGATAGATCAATTTATTCAATTATTAAAATCTATTCTAGTCACATTTTATTCTTATAATTGTAAATTTTAACTATCCTGTATATTTTGAAAAAAATAAACATTAATCTTAATATAAAATAAAATAAATAATTACATACATCTAAAATTTTAAATGGATCAATACCATTTCGTTTTTAGATTTGTATTTCTTTTTAGTTATTGTTTAGATTAGACTGACTAAAAAATAATAGGATTCTAAGAAAAAAATCAAAAATACTTTTAAGATTCCAAAGTTTCTATATTCTTTTTCACATAAGTGACTACTAACTAGTATATTATATGTTATTTTAATATAACTCAGTAAATATATACTTGTCAGTAGATATATAGAAAAAAATTCAGTTGTGTAACAGACCATAAGGCATATGAGATATGACATAAGTATTCATATTAAATATAAATACAACATTATAGTCTAATTTTATAAATTACTTCATGAAAGTCCACCAAAATATTTATTATTGAATCCGACTGTTTATCTTGCTTAAGTAAGAAAAGTTTTTTATTGTGTATTATATAGTTAGGTATAGTTTCTTTAAAAAAAAAAGGTTTGTTTTAACATTTATTCCATTAAAGTTAAGGGGCCTTAATCATAAATAATAAGTATTTATATGATTATATTTATAAGCACGCAACACTTAAATGTATATTTTACAATTAACGAGTATACAACTTAATGTTCTGAATTAATCATTTGGCTTCAAAAAATTATAGTCCTGTTAATTGTTAAATAGTATAACTCCTACACAGTGGGGAAACTTGATAATAAGGAGCCCATGTCAACATTCCTAGACTAGGCCCTTACTTGCTTTTAAAAATGAAAAACAGTCATACCTTATTATAACTCTAAAAAAATTGTTTTCTCACAAGTCAGAGTTAATAATTATTAGTTATACATATATATATATACTTTGTCCAGCAGAGTGTACCGATTCTGCTCATCTCCCCGCGTCTCCTTGATATCAAAATCGGTTCCCTTACAGCAAGGTGTTGCGTGGGGGAACCAGTTTTGGTCGGTGTGTGGTGCGTTCTCTCGCTGAATAGACCATAGGTATCTAATTTTACACTGGTTATGTTTCTTGCGAAGGTACTCATAATTCAAATTCTCTAAACATTAAAGACATTATTATTTATTGTTATTATATTTAAACAAATAGTATAATATGTGTATATTACAGATTATAGAAGGAGTAACGTATATGAGATCTCGGGGCCCTCCAAAACTGGGGGCCTTTTTGTGGAATTTTTGACTTGTTTTTAGTAACAAATTGAATCAAGTTGGTATTTGGGGAGTTAAAAGTATAAAATTCTTAGAATATTAGAGACGGGCTCAATGAACCAAAGTGGAGACTCAGAATTGTTTTACATGATATGTAATGACTCATCATATTCATTAAATTAAAATTTAACACTTCTACTACAGTTTACAGTGACACTCAATGGCAATAGTACAATAGAAACGTACTAAACAGCAGAGTGACGACCCAGGTTTCTTAACTTTGATTATAATAAATTAATGTATATAAAGAATACGGGAATTTGAAACATTTAATACTTATACTCAAATTTAGATAAATTTGTGGAATATGATTGGTTGATTTTCTTTGAGTCTTATATTTATTATTGTTTTATTAAGATTTGATACTCGTGTACCTAAATTTTATTATTTCATTTTAATTATTCGCACAACTACACATTAATGATTACCTAATAATAATATTTTTCTATATTAATATTAATGTTTAGTACTCTTAAATAATGTTATTTAAACTATTGAACTCTTGTTTGTCTTGTTTTCCGCATTTGTTGCCTCCATGTGTTACAAGTTTGTAACATAGCAAAATTACGCTCAGCAGATCACATTTAGCTCAGTTAGTTTATAAATAAGAGTGAATTAACCTATTATGGTTTTTTTTTATTATTCAATTTTTAAAGTGAGTTATGAGCATTTTAAGTTTACACTATATGCATAACTTGCTAAAAATTGAATTATCATAAAAAACCATCATACGAACACAGATAATGTTATTACCATCAAGTTTCTTAATAGGTTGATTCACTCTAGTTTTTAAACTAACGAAGCTAAACTTGATCTGCTTATAAATTTTCCATGTTTTGCACTTGTAAGAAGGAGACAACATATGCTGGTGTGGCGTCGTCTTAATAATTTTATTAATAATTATTTATAATTTTAGTTAACCTATTTTGAGGCCTATTAAGCTGAATTTTAATTGTTTAAATTATTTTGTTGAATTTTTAAAGTATTAATATTTAATCTATTATAAGTATCTGCTAAAAAATCTGCAAAATGCAAATACAAGCACATTTAGTAGTAATATGGTAGTAATGTAGTATATTTATTTTATAATCTTATATTCTTATTGGCCAATTGAGTTAATTTTGTAGGTATTTACTATACATGATGTAATAGTATCAACAATTCCCAAAGAATATAAATAGCTCAAAATGAATTGTTTAGCTATAATAATTTAATTAAGTTTAAAGAGTTGCATATAATTTGTGATATTAGAATTATTTCTTGATCTGTGATTACTTGAATATTTCCTGTACAATTATTTTAGATACTTTTGAGAGCTTTCAATAGTATATAATTTACCATATATTATAATATATTACATACATAAATAAATTGTAATAATTGTTTAGCCAAATTTATCATATATTATTTTAACTTCTTATCTGGAGCATCCCAAAATAAGTCAGATGATTTTTATGTGTATTTTGTCTACAGGGAATATTGATGAATGGTGTTAGGATTATAATAATTATTAATAAACTTTATTTTATTTATTTATTGTTTAAATAGTAAAGTTAAACTTTTTTACTAATATTTGGCCTATCCAACAATTTACTATATTCACATTTAACTATTTAAGCTTAAATTTTTTTATGACACCATATGCATATATTGCACCATATATTTTCACTATACTAAGA